TGAAATTCAAATTTTGAATTTCAAAATCTTCCCTAATTGGACAATGTCATATTTTGGAAAGTTTTAAAGCTCATTCAATTTATTTTAAATTGGATTTGATTTAATTTTCCTCTTCCTTATTGAGAAAACCAAATTTGGAAGCTTTTAACTCCCCACCAATCCTTCCCCTCTTCCGCCTATGCCGCCGGCCCATTAATGGGTTTCTCCCATTTAATGCCCAATTAAGACTCAAGCCTTATTTGAATTTGAATTCAAATTCAAATAAGGCTTGAGTCTTAATTGGGCATTAAATGGGAGAAACCCATTAATGGGCCGGCGGCATAGGCGGAAGAGGGGAAGGATTGGTGGGGAGTTAAAAGCTTCCAAATTTGGTTTTCTCAATAAGGAAGAGGAAAATTAAATCAAATCCAATTTAAAATAAATTGAATGAGCTTTAAAACTTTCCAAAATATGACATTGTCCAATTAGGGAAGATTTTGAAATTCAAAATTTGAATTTCAAACTGAGGAGTTATCTTCCTAAATCAATGGAGGCTATTTTGGTAGGTGGTAATGATGGCATTAATCATCATTAAAGGGGGATGGCCAATGGGGGCCGGCGGCATGGTGGTGGGAGGCTTGGGAATGCGGTTGGGGGGAAAAGTGGGGCTAGGCCGGCGGTTCGGTGGGCTAGTAGGTTGGCGGGTGGGCTTTGAGGTGGTGGAGCTAAAGGGGAAATTTGAGTGGGAGGGGATGGCCGGTGGTGGTAGGGGAAGGAGGAGTCGTCGGGTGGGATGGGAAAAAGAAGAAAAAGGAAATAAGATAGATTAACCACGAGCCGCGGACTCTTCCAACGACTGGTGGGTATTGCGCTTGCTCTCACCTCGAGCTCTCTCTCTCCCTTCTCTAGGGCTCTCACAAGAAGAAGAAGAAGAAGAAAAAACACATAAAATTTTATTATCAAATCATCATCCCAATACAATAGAAATGACCCATATATATAGGCCTCACCAAAAAGAAAAGAAACAAAGACTAAAATGCCCTCGGGGCTACAACATCAAATGACTACCCATAAGGCTAAAACAGTCAAACTGAAAATTAAAAAAAAAAAAAAAAAAAAACTATAACATAAAATGACTCAAAAATATAAGCTCCTGATCGTAGCCGTCGATTTCCGGTGTCTCCTTTGATAAGCACGCCAAAATCTCCTGCTGATGTCCTCAGCAATTGGTGTTATTGCATACCTTCTTTAATTCCATGAAACATATGACTTGTTCTTGTAACATCTATTATTTTGACAACAATCTATAATCTTATTTATGTCAACTGACTTTATTATTATACCGTTTATAATACATTTTTTACAGGGTCTAACTGACGAAAAGAGCTATGCGGCATCATTTGGTGATGTTAAAACCCTTACAGCTGATGGTCAGCCCAAGGAACTATTTTTCTCTAGTGATTTGTGTGCAATTGTGGAACACACCAAAAATTATTTGGCTATTGAGGATAATGAAGTGGTGCACCTTAAGGTAACGCTAATGATCTGGTTTTTTTTCTTTCAGCCTATCTAATTAGCAGAGTAAATTTACTAGCTAGCTCGATAAGGCCCTGAAACGCTGTTGCTTTTTTCATTGACCCCTTGTTATTTTTCTAGAATTATTTTTGTGTAAGCTCTTTAGCCTAAAATAACTGTTGGTACACAAGTTCTAGATTTTTCATCCAATGCTTCTTTTCTCCACTATGCCAGATTTAATTTTGTTCCTGAGTTCTGTTTGAACAAAAATAGATAGTTTGCAGTATTCTCCTTTTATTGGATTGTTTTGTGACCCTGATCTATTGAAAACTTCATTTCGCTTTGTGGAGTTATCTATTGCTCATGATACACTTATTTTGAATGCTCTCAAATTTTCTAGCTAAGGTTTTGTTTCTTAGTATGCGTTCTTGTTTCTTTAATTGAGAATATGCTAGCTTGCCTAAATATAGACTATCCTCTGCTTTCTTGACAGATAGGAAATGATCCGCCTGTGCAAATGGTAGCGCACAAAAATACATCTCTAGTTGAATGTAGCATATCATTATAAGATGCTCTTTATTTGTGTTTGAGTCGAAATCTTTTTTCACGGCATAAAAATACTCCATGGGACTTCATGGGTTATAATATTAGTTATATGTTATAACTTCGGTCTTACAACTTCTCAACCAGTAGTCTTCATCCTGACATCTCTGTTCTGCTCCTTCACGCTTCTATATCAGACTTTCCTTTTATCCTCTGCCAGTTTTAGCTAATGCTGTGGTTCAAGTAATTTTTATGGTTCGTTTAACTAAATTTCGCCTTTCTTTTGGTTTTTTGACAGCCTTGATTTTCACTTCATGCAAAAAGAGGATTCACACTTAATTGACTGATCGCTAGTTTATTTCACTTGGCTAAAAATACTCTTTGATTTAGAATATTCTTGAGGTCGACTTCCATTTAATTTTTTGTTGATAATATCAGGATGGAAGTGTCTCAGTTCTGAAGTTCGATTACAGTAAGGAAAAGCCAGCATCTGTGCAGCGTGCATTATCTGTTCTTGAGATGGAAGTTGAGCAAATAAAGAAAGGAAATTATGATCACTTCATGCAAAAAGAGATTCACGAGCAACCCCATTCTTTAACTACAACAATGAGGGGAAGACTTAGAGATAAAAGCGTTGTTTTGGGAGGTCTCAAGGATCACCTAAAGACAATCAGGCACAGCAGGAGAATTATATTCGTTGGTTGTGGTACAAGCTATAATGCAGCTTTGGCTGCAAGACCGTTTCTGGAAGAGTTGTCAGGTTAGAATCTAATTTTTACTTGTTTCAATATGTTTAAGGGATTCTTGTACTGATGGTTCAATAAAATTTCAAAATTAAGGAATCCCTGTTACTATGGAGCTTGCAAGTGATTTGCTGGACCGCAAAGGCCCAATTTACAGAGAGGACACAGCAGTATTTGTTAGTCAATCTGGAGAAACTGCCGACACTCTTCTTGCACTTGAATATGCTCTATCAAATGGGGCACTTTGTGTTGGCATAACGAATACTGTTGGCAGTACACTAGCAAGGAAAACACACTGTGGTGTCCACATAAACGCTGGCTGTGAGATTGGCGTCGCTAGTACAAAAGTAAACATAATTAACAAATCTCCTTTCTGCTTTTGATCAAATGCAGTTCTATATCACTAATGGTCTGTCATGAACTTCATTAGGCATACACCAGTCAAATTGTTGTAATTACCATAATGGCTTTGGCAATCGGAGCTGACAGCATATCCACACAATCAAGAAGAGAATCAATTATAAACAGTCTGTCTGATCTACCCGGTAAGCTATTCTTTTGTATATAAAAGTGCATTTCACAACCATTATAGAAACTTATTTTTCTTTTTTTTTTTTCCCAATTTTTTTCACAGATAAGGTTAGAGAGGTTCTACGCCTTGATAATGAAATGAAAGATCTTGCCGAATCATTGATGCAAATGCAATCATTGCTTGTATTTGGAAGAGGTTATAATTATGCCACTGCACTTGAGGGTGCTTTGAAGGTAAAAGAAGTAGCACTCACGCACAGTGAAGGCATGCTTGCTGGTGAAATGAAACACGGACCATTGGCGCTTGTGGATGAAACTCTTCCAATCATTGTTATTGCCACTCGAGATGCTTGTTTCAGGTCAGTTAGTTCCTACTTATCAAAATTTAAGCTTTGTTTGGGACACCTTTCTTGCTGCTTCTTAAAGCAATTTTTTAGTACAAAATTAAAATTTTTTACTAAAAAGATGCTTTAAGAAGCACTAAGAAAGCCTTCGCAAACTAAGCCTTAGTATACTGAGCATAATTTTCCTGATTCTGACAGCCAACAACAATCGGTAATTCAACAACTTCATGCTCGCAAAGGTCGTCTGATAGTAATGTGCTCCAGTGGAGATGCAGCATCTGTATGTTCTGGTGGTTCTTGCAGGCTAATTGAAGTTCCTTTGGTTGCAGACTGCCTCCAACCAGTAATCAATATAATTCCATTGCAGGTAACTCCAGCCTCTTTCAAAACATAGCATTTTTCTTTAGGAGCTGTACAGCAGCAGCTATTTATGTATGCTTAGCGTGTTATTTCCAGACAGATTTTCATCCTCGTTTTGAGAAGACGCTCATGTAATTTTGGTCTTTCTTTGCAGCTGCTAGCCTACCATCTGACAGTGTTACGAGGATATGATGTGGACCAACCTAGGAATCTTGCCAAGAGTGTAACCACACAATGAGTAATAAATCCATAACTTCGCGTTTGTGTTATTTGTAGAATTTAATTTAATCAGGTTTTAGTTATATCTTGGATTTCTTAAGTTCAGTTGATAGTCTTCGATTTATGGTAGGGTAGGGGAGAATTCTCTTTTCTTGCTGATTATTTTATTAGTAATGCTATATTACCAAAATAAATAAATAAATAAAAAGATTGTTAATCTCATTATCCGCCTCAATTCAAGAAATTGAGATTTTGTGAAGATTTCAATCGAGTATGGCATGGCTGGTGTTATCTTTGAGGTTTATGTGTATATTTGTAAGCCGAAAAGCTCCTTGGAATTGGTCAGTTCTTTGAAAGAGATTTGTCTTTAGATTTCTCATTGATTTAGTGATGAGGCCTAGCCTGGCTTGACTAGGAATAATTATTAGGTCCGGACACTTGACGTAGATCTACATCCGAACGTCAATAACATGTCGTCACGTGCTATTACTCTTTACCGCGCGGCCTGACGACCTGACCTAGACCGGAACCCGGTATTGCTATGTTCGGGTATTGCTCGGTATTGCTAGGTATTATTCGGTATTACTAGGTATTGTTTGGCAATAACGAGAAATACTGCTCTGTCAATACCAATACCTAGCAAAATTGGGGTATTGTTAGGTATTGCTTGGTATTGCTCGGTATTGCTAGGTATTGGTCTTGACAGATTGATATTTCTTGTTATTGCTGAGCAATATCGAACAATACCTAGTAATACCCCGGTCTGCACAAATCAGATTAGGTCCGGACACTTGACATTGCTCTACATCCGGACGTCAATAGCATGTCTTCACGTGCTCTTACTCTTTACCGCGCAACCCGAACCAGACCGGAACCCGGTATTGCTATGTTCGAGAGGTCTTTGAGTGAACTGACTTCCGTTTTAAATTCATGTTGTTGTTTTTATGTAGATGGTTGAGAGAATTTTGTAGAGGAAATTGAAGTTTTACTTTTACCTTAAATTTTCTTGAATCTCCTCTTTATTGTGGGCTCCACAAAAGATTAAATTTTAAATTTTAGATTGCTTCCTTATCTTCTCATCTTTACACGTGGACGTTAACTTTGATTTGTTCACGAATTTAGGCTTCCATCTGTGTACATATTTACATTCCATGCCCAGGCATTATTTTGTGGAGATTGGTTATTGACGATGGAGCCTTCTTTCTTTGGACCTTCTTGACCTCTTTGATAGCTTTTTATTACAAAATAAGAAATTTTTATTTTTATAACTTGATTTAATATGGCTAAACTAAAAATTTATTTTCTTTTGTTCAACCCTATTAGCCTGAATTAGGACCTGGAAGAGCCCCTTGGATCATGATATGAGCCCCGAGTAACCTACATACGGATCACAAGCATATTATTCATGCTGACATTAAATGCAAATATGTATTAAAAAAAAGCACATGATAACTTCAAAAGCTATTACATGCACTCATTTAAAGAGATTTTGTTTTGTTATAGTTCCAAATATTTCCCATCAAATATAAAAAAAATTGTAAACAGATATTCACGCCTTTAAAATTACCACATGGATGAGTATAATCATCTATGATGCACAAACACAGACAAGGAAAAAAAAAAAAAAAAAAAAAAAAAAAAATCATACATGTTTGATTGAATTATATAACTGACTTTCAATTTCATCATAGGGTGTAAATGAGTCGAATCGTATAGAGTTTTAGTACTATCAAGCTTAGCCCGTCAGTCAGAAAGCGAGTTTGAACTCGAGCTCAAGTTCAAATTCATCCCACTATGAACAATCTTGTACCGGCTCGTGAGCCCATGTCATCCCCCCCCTCCCCTCGTAAAACTTCCTGCACAATTTCTTGCCTGGAAATTTCCAGCCCGCGAAACTCTTGCATGTGATTTCATGCCCGCGAAATTTCCTGCTCGTAAATTCTTGCCCGTGATTTCCGTACGTGAGCCTCTCGAAGAGCTCACAACTCGAGCGGTGTGTTGTTCGAACTCGAGCTCGATAAGCCGTCGAGCTCAAAATCCTATTCGAGCTCAACTCGTCAAGCTTGTTAATGAGTCGAGCCTGAGCCAACTCGAGAGTAGGCTTGATGACTTGGTTCCACCCCTAGTCCCATGTTCATCCTAAAAATATTTTTCCATTTGAATCACTATCAAATCTTGTTATTTCTCAAGGCGGAGTCACCACTGCACCAAGTTCTTCTATGTTCATGAGTTGCCAACTACTGTTTCTATTAATCCCATTGAGGAACAGTACAATGCTACTTCATACACTGGCATCGTCGAATATCTAGCTTACCACATGGATGAGTATCATCATATTAACTCTAAATGACTGAGTATTATATATTAATCATAGCCTTCAATGATCAGTATTATCAGAAATCCTTCATTAATCATGAGACTCGTTTAATGCACATCGCATCCATATTCACCAACTAGTAACATCATGTGAAATAATTTATAACATTTAGATTTACTTAATTATTTGACTTCAAGCATAGCCCAAATTATAGTCGAGAATTCATTCCTTAAACATGGCACATATTCTTTAAACCATCCACAGTAATGCAAAAGGGAGCGTTAAATAGTTTACAAGATTTCTATGTGGCTCAAGGATTAATAAGAGTAATATATGCACCAAATAGTAATGCATATCAAACGATAAATTACTGTTTATATTTCATCGTCTCTTTCTCGAATCCAATTGTAGGGAATTGTTTTGCATAGTCCTCCACCTCATGCCGAAGCTTAGCAATCTCAGTTTTAATATTGTCATTTGTCTGAATAGTGGCTATGAAGTCCTTGAGCTTTGTTCCAGCTGAAATATTAAAGATCAATTATCCATAGAATGAGCCATTCATAAATTATTCTCAAGTTTTTTTTTTTTTTATGACGAGGAACTGTCCGCTGCCACAGCCGACTTCGTCGAGCGTGCTTGGCGGTCCGTAAACCCCAGCCGACTTAATGGGCCACCCAGGCCACAAACCCATAGCCGTTGCTTTGGAGTCCCCACTTAAGGGCCGACTGCCACTCGAGGGAATCGAACTCGGGATGGGGGGTTCCCAACCGAGCTAAGCGTTGGTGGGTTATTATTCTCAAGTTTATAAGGAAATTATTGTACCTATTGTTTCAGCCTTGGCTTTCAGTGATAATTTCACAGCAGCGTCGAAAAAGTCTGCAACTCTGGCAAAGTCTTCCTCAACGAACCCCCTGGATGTGAGTGCCGGTGTTCCTGAATTATATAAAAAATCTCATAAGTTATTACCTTAATTGCAACACATGACCATAATAGCTTAATTCAAGGGGAAATTTTTGTTAGATCAAATTTTTATCAACATATGAGTGCAATTTAATTTTTTTATCTATTTTTGTATGTGTTGCACTCATTTCAAAGCAAATTTTTCATCCTGGTCAAAATTTGATCAGAATATCCTGACAAAAACTGATTCTAAAAAAAATCACAAAGTTATCGAATTTACTTTGAGATGAGTGTAATACAATCTTTGATCAATATTTTGTGTTTCATTCACTCACTTTAAAGTAAATTCAATTACTTTGAGACACATCCTGATTAAATTTAGTTCATTGATATAGTAAGGTTTGTACCCATCCTGATGCCACCAGGAACCATGGCTGACACATCACCGGGAACTGTATTTTTGTTGGCTGCAATATGAACCAATTCTAACACTTTCTCCACTCTGGATCCATCAATTCCCTGGAAAAATATGTTAGTCAAGCCACAATCTCTCACAAATGAATGCTTTGAAAGATTAGGTTTGCGTGCACATTGAAATGAGATTATACCATAAATTACAAGTTGAATTATTATGACAAAGACTAATAGGATGATGTTATTGCATGAGGGTTTTGCAGTTAGATTCATTGAAAATAGTATGAATGAACAGAAATAATTACTGCAATTCATTCTCACCTTGCTTTTCAAATTTACTAAGACCAAATGGTTATCTGTACCACCAGAAACAAGTTCATAACCTTTCTCAGCTAACCGCTGAGGAAGAAAATATTAGCAAGTCAGAAAAATAAGAGTCTTAACAAAGAAGTCGGAAATATTTTAGAAACTAGCATAATAGTTTTAGAGATGGAAATATGCCTGAGCAAATTTTGCACAATTGCTGAGGACTTGTTCTTGATATGCTCTGAACTCTGGAGTTGTAGCCTATTGCATGATGAAAATTACATCAAATTTTTATATCAAGAAGCAAACGAAGCGATGATAAACATTATCGATTATCGATTCAGTTCATAATAAAATAAGATCATCTTCCTCAGGATACATGAGAAGAATTAAATGATCCAAGTTACAGTGCAGTATACAAGATCTACAATTACTAGTAGATAAAAAGTTGCAGATTCTTTGACACAGTCTCCTATAAATAAATTGTTATTATTATTCAAAATCCAAACAAATTAATTCAGAACTGAGATAAATCAGAACGATGTATTCTCAAATCAAGCCTGCTTAGTCTCAATCTCATATAAACTCAAGTTAGCCCAAAACATTTCGAACTGGCCTATTTAAGCCCCCACTAGAGGTCAGTTGTACATGGTAAGCCTGATTCAAACCTATGGTTTAAACTTCTATAATGCCATGGCATTGGCCTACTTTAATCTCCCTAGTATAAGCCAGTGAGATTAATTCCAAAAATTTCTAAAATTACCTCATGAAAAACTTTCATCCATCAATTTATATTCAAAGAACAACAAAGTTGAACATGGGATCAAATTGGCTCAATTTTGATAAGATGAGGGACTAAATTGAACACCTAAAAAAATTAAGACTAAACTAGATGCATCTACAAAATTTAGGGACCATTTTGATCATTTACTCAACGTAGTTATTTGTCATAACTATGCCTCAGCTGCCTATTTGGTCATCTTTATGCTTTTTTATTTTTCTTTTTAACATACTTATCTAGTATCTAGTATGATGCTGATCTCCCTTCACTAAAATAGAAGGCAAAACTTATGTTTGTTTTGTAATTAAATGGGGGCGATCCTTCCATCATGTTGGTCAAAAAAGAAATGAAAAGAGATAAAAGGGAAGGCATAACTGGATACTTTACATTAGCTTAAACAAGTAGAAAAAAAAGTCAAACTCAAAAGCTAGAAATTCAAAATCCAAAAATCAATCATAAATACACAAACCACTGGACATTCATTCTAGTATAAACCCTTTTTTTGTTTAATTTGCTCTGCACAAAATTTATTAAGAAGATGAAAGAAATGCAGAAGAGTTATGCACACCTGCTTAAGTGCAACAGCTAAGCCAGTAATTGTATGATTATGTGGCCCACCTTGTAATCCAGGGAAGACCGCAGCATTAATTTTCTCTTCGAAGTCATATATAACCTTGTGGAAAAGATAATGCTCATTGTATAAGTCATTTCATTCCTAAAAGTAACATAAGCCCTGAAGTGATATGCAATATGATAAATAAAAGAAAATATCATGAAATAGTTAAATTTAATAAAAGCTCTCAAAAGAGTTTCAGAAGAAAAGGACCAAAAGATGCTTCGATTATCCTGGAAGGATTTCAAGGAGAGTGTAATGAGCACTTAGCATCTAAGGCGTAAAGCACGCACACGCACTTCTCACTTGATTGGAGGGTCACTTCACTCTTGTTTGTAAAAATAAGGCTTTGTTTGGGACGGCTTTTTTACGGCTTCTCAAAACAGCTTTTTATTACAAAATTTTTAATTTTTTATTAAAAAGTTGTTTTAAGAAGCAATAAGAAAGCCGTCCCAAACGATTCTTTTAGCTTTTCAATTTGAGCTTTCAAATTACATCTCACCTCTTGCCCTTGTTTATTTATCTCTTTTACCCCCCTTCTGAAAAATATCATGGCTCCACGTGGTCCGCGAAGCGACTTGTGAGTTGTAGTCGTCACCACATCTGCATAATCAAAAGGAGATGGAATAACACCAGCAGCTACCAGTCCACTTATGTGTGCCATATCTGCCAAAAGAATAGCTTTCTGCTTGTCACAGACCTGCCGATTTCAAAAGCACTTTATATTGAGTTTCACTCATAATGCAAGAATAAAAACTAAAATCTGAACCAAATTGCCTTTGCTCAAACCATTTTAAGGTTACCTTGCGAATACGAGCATAATCATAAAGGCGTGAGTACGCGCTAGCTCCCGCAACAATTAATTTTGGTCTAAAGAGTGCAGCACTTCTCTCCAACTGCAATAAAAAATGAAATGAAAATTTCATAACATGATCATGATTCATTGATTGCTTGAGGGCAGGCTTAGTTTGAAATCAAAAGATGAAGAATAAGGTAGACAACATAGAAAAAAAGGAAAAAAGTTCCAAGGAGATCCATCATAGTGGAGGCTCCATGGTTTACATAGAAAACATGTAATTTTCATTTCATATATGGCTATTTTTTAGAACCCTTTAGAAGAAGATAACACATAATCTAAGGACAACCAAACACAATGTGATGGGAATTTTTGCATTTCTTCTCATCACAAGTATTGCATCAAGTATTAATTTATGTGCAATTATTTATTTTATATTGTAGTTGATTGTGTTTATTATTCTTATTTAAGTACGTTCTAGTAACAATGGTTGAGAAGGTTTATGTATGTAGCACAAATTCCATTAGAAAATCCTAACATTGAGTCATCCCGGATCACAGTGCATCCAAAAATTGATGATTTTCATATTCATTCATTCATCATCATCACTAACCTTATCTCAACTATTTGTGGCCCCATTAAAAGAGCAATTATTCTATGCGGACACCGGATGGTTATCCGGTCTGGTTATCGAGCAGGATACATTTTTGAGGCAACGTTGTGCATTTTTATTGGTCTCCGGGCGAATCCGGACACCGCCGTAATATTTTTTTTCCCATTAAAATACATCTTTGACGACTTGATCCTTGATCTCAATAGATTGTGTTGGCATGGCCATTTAATAGTTCCAGCACCCTTTCGCAAAGTTAAGTCATCTCCAAATTCATTCATTGAGTGAGATTTTTTTTTTTAGCGAATATCTAAAAGACATGACATACTACTTATATAATGATATACTATTCATAGAATCAAATTATTACATCTACTCAATGAAATCACATTAATTTATTTTTCATCCTAAAAGGAATTTTGAAGGATACTATATTGGAATTAGAAAATTATATTACCCTTCAACAAATTACTTAAACTCCTTGAGAAAAATTTAAGATATCAGATATTTGTATGTGAAAAATATGAATCGGAGATTGAAGAAGAGGAAGGATCCCTCAATCCACAAAAGGATCCCTCAATCCACAATAGATTGTGGAGGATTAATTCAATCCCGTAGTTTGAGCTTCTAGAAACTATTTGATTGCATCAAAAAATTAAAATGCAATGCATCCATACGTAGACTGGAAAAAAAAAAAAATCTTATGACGGGTTATATGAAGTAAACATGCAAACAAAGATGTAGCAGCCACCTGATCATAGTCAATGTACCCAGTGGCCTCATTCAATCTATATGGCATTGTCTCAAAGAATATTGATACAGCAGAGATCTTCTTGGTATCAGTCTGCATCAAATTAATTGTATCAGGAAGGCAAAATAAAGTCATTTAAGATATCAAGATACTTATTTATGCACAAAAATGCAAGCATGCCAAGTTAGGGGGTAGAAGTTGAAAATATTTAGGAATAAACATAGGTTGTAGTTTGAATTAAAAAAAAAAAAAAAAAAAAATTGGGTGATTGATCTCCAATCGAACTCCATTTTGCGTCGGTAACCGTCTCTCTTTCGAGCGTTTCTTTGACAAATCTTGTAGAGACAGAAAAATAATGCAAGTGAACAGTGCAACGATAATATTGGCGTCGCATTGTTCACCCGCAACCAAATACTGGAAGTTTTGCCGTTCGGCTGGAGCCCGCAAGAGACGCCATTCAAGCGTTTGGAGTTCGGTTAGAGAAGGCCTAATAAGGGCATCTCCAACCGAACGCCAAACGAGCGTTTGGCGTCATTCCTTCGCTCCAGCCGAACGCCAAAAAATCCTCCATTTGCTTGCGGGTGAACAGTGCAACGCCAATATTGGCGTTGCACTGTTCACCCATGCCATTTACACAAACCACTGGACATTCATTCTAGTATAAACCCTTTTTTTGTTTAATTTGCTCTGCACAAAATTTATTAAGAAGATGAAAGAAATGCAGAAGAGTTATGCACACCTGCTTAAGTGCAACAGCTAAGCCAGTAATTGTATGATTATGTGGACCACCTTGTAATCCAGGGAAGACTGCAGCATTAATTTTCTCTTCGAAGTCATATATAACCTTGTGGAAAAGACAATGCTCATTGTATAAGTCATTTCATTCCTAAAAGTAACATAAGCCCTGAAGTGATATGCAATATGATAAATAAAAGAAAATAGCATGAAATAGTTAAATTTAATAAAAGCACTCAAAAGAGTTTAAGAAGAAGGAACCAAAAGATGCTTCGACTATCCTGGAAAGATTTCAAGGAGAGTGTATTGGCACTTAGCATCTAAGGCATAAAGCACGCATACGCACTTCTCACATGATTGGAGGGTCACTTCATTCTTGTTTGAAAAAATAAGGCTTTGTTTAGGACGGCTTTTTTACGGCTTCTTAAAACAGCTTTCTAGTACAAAATTTTTAATTTTTTCTTAAAAAGCTGTTTTAAGCAGTAAGAAAACCGTCCCAAAACGAAGCCTAAATGAAAAAAATAGCTCCCTGCTTTTCAATTTGAGCTTTCAAATTACATCTCACCTCTTGCCCTTGTTTATTTATCTCTTTTACCCCCCTTCTGAAAAATATCATGGCTCCACGTGGTCCGCGAAGCGACTTGTGAGTTGTAGTCGTCACCACATCTGCATAATCAAAAGGAGATGGAATAACACCAGCAGCTACCAGTCCACTTATGTGTGCCATATCTGCCAAAAGAATAGCTTTCTGCTTGTCACAGACCTGCCGATTTCAAAAGCACTTTATATTGAGTTTCACTCATAATGCAAGAATAAAAACTAAAATCTGAACCAAATTGCCTTTGCTCAAATCATTTTAAGGTTACCTTGCGAATACGAGCATAATCATAAAGGCGTGAGTACGCACTAGCTCCTGCAACAATTAATTTAGGTCTAAAGAGTACAGCACTTCTCTCCAACTGCAATAAAAAATGAAATGAAAATTTCATAACAGGATCATGATTCATGTATTGCTTGAGGGTAGGCTTAGTTTGAAGATCAAAAGATGAAGAATAAGGTAGAAAACATAGAAAAAAAGAGGAAAAAAAGTTCCAATGAGATCCATCATAGTGGAGGCTCCATGGTTTACATAGAAAACATGTAATTTTCATTTCCTATATGGCTCTTTTTTAGAAACCTTTCGAAGAAGATAACACATAATCTAAGGACCACCTTAAACTCAAGAAACTAAACACAATGTGATGGAAATTTTTGCATTTATTCTCATCAGAGATATTGCATCAAGTATTAATTTGTGCAATTATTTATTTTATATTGTAATTGATTGTGTTTATTATTCTTATTTGAGTATGTTCTAGTAACAATGGTCGAGAAGGTTTGCATTAACTATATATTTTCTAGCTTTATGTTAGTTCATTTAGTAAGCATGATTTCAGTCGTGATGTAATTTAGGTTACTTCCCAAACAAATTTTGATTCCAAAGGATTGAGGAGTTCATGATAGACTATAATATTTATATATTAGGAGATTGATAGTTATTTCAGACTATCGTTGGGCGGTTGGGCGGTGTTTTGAACTTTGAAATACAATTTCACTTAAGATGGGTGACATGAAAAAATTTGTGGCGTGTTTTAATAGGATTTTTTAAATTTAAATTAGGATTATATTTAAATTTAAATTAGGATTAATTTTAACTTTAATTTATAATGTTAGCCTTATCTACTAACTTAAGTTATATGGAGTCTATATGATGGTCTGAGGAATGCAAATAAAAATGTCTTGAATAAAATTTCCTCTTCTTAAATTCAATCCTATGAGTTCAAGCTGAATATGTTAGTCATTTAAGTACAATACAAGTGCAAATACCTAATTATGAGCAGCTACCTGATCATAGTCAATGTACCCAGTGGCCTCATTCAATCTATATGGCATTGTCTCAAAGAATATTGATACAGCAGAGATCTTCTTGGTATCAGTCTGCATCAAATTAATTGTATCAGGAAGGCAAAATGAAGTCATTTAAGATATCAAGATACTTATTTATGCACAAAAATGCAAGCATGCCAAGTGAGGGGGTAGAAGTTGAAAATATTTAGGAATAAACATAGCTTGTAGTTTGAATTAAAAAAAAAAAAAATTGGAGTGATTCATCTCCAATCGAACTCCATTTTGCGCCGGTAACCGTCTCTCTTTCGAGCGTTTCTTTGACAAATCTTGTAGAGACAGAAAAATAATGCAGGTGAACAGTGCAACGATAATATTGGCGTCGCATTGTTCACCCACAACCAAATACTGGAAGTTTTTCCGTTCGGCTGGAGCCCGCAAGAGACGCCATTCAAGCGTTTGGAGTTCAGTTGGAGAAGGCCTAATGACACACAACAATGTACTAATAGTCTAGCAGGGTATATAACACCCATCAATGTACTGCACCAACCTGGTAGCCATGTGAAAGGTGTCCACCATGAGGAAGATCTAGCGCCATTATTCTTTCATGTGGTTTCAAAAGAGCCGTATAAACTTGAAAATTAGAAGGAGAACCAGATAGAGACTGTACATTCACTGCATGAGCATCAAGAACAGACAAATGAGGAAAAATCCTTTCAGCTTAATAATACAAAAACCAAGGTTTGGATCAATTACCTCCCCACTTTTTGGGATCCAATCTAAAAGCTTCAAGAGCACGCTTTTGGCACAATGTCTCCGCCATGTCAATATATCTGGCGACAGGCAGGCAATGGATCAGATTAATTCATAATCTCAGGAAGAATAGTCTTCGAAATGAACAAAAGGGACGATATCTTACTCATTTCCACCATAATATCTTGCACCGGGGTAGCCCTCGCTGTACTTGTTAGTCATAACAGATCCAACGGCTTGCATCACCGACACCGATGTGAAATTCTCCGAAGGTATAAGCTCCAGACCCTTAAAAACCATTACAGGTAGACATAAAGCTTCCATAATAGAAAAAACCCAAAAAAAATAAGCATTGATGAGCTTCCTTTCATCACTAATAATCATAAAAAGCACTTTCAGCTCAGTCAGGTCAGCTGAAAGCCTCCTCATTCTTTTATCCGACACATCCGATAAGAAAATCAAAGCGCATATCCTAAAGAGATGAAATGACAATCAAACAAAGAACCACCTTCCATTGCCTGTTCTTCTCGAGCTCGATGATGTCGGCAACCTCCGGATCCACGGCCTCGAGTGAAGCGTTGAGTTGCTTAGGCCACTGCATATAATTCGGAACCATTATTCAAAAGAAAACATCACAGGATCTAATCGAAATCCCTAGAAAAGCCGAAATCAATGAAGCAAGAACAAGGCTAGCAACTCACTGTGACGCGGGATCCATCCTTCTCGTAAGAAGCAGCCTCGCTTGGAAGAGAAGACTGTTTCGATTCCAATTTAAAGAAGTAAGACAATAAAACAATCAATGAGACATGCTCTGCACCGGAGAACAATCGAGCTCAAAGAAACAGATAAAAGGGAAGGAAATAGAAGCGAAGAAATACCATGAAACAGAGAGAAGCCGGAGACAGATGATGCAATCTCCTCGCCTCAGCAGAGAAGGATAGCCGCCGGAGCGCCGTCGCCATTGCCATCTCCTCCTTCCCTTCTCCGCCCCCTCCCCTCCCCTCCCTCTCTCCCGGCCTCTATTTCTTTCTCCCCGCGTGCGCCTGGTTGGTGGATCGAAATCCCATCAATCAGCAAAAAGTAAGTCAAACATCTATATCATCTAAAACCCTTCGATCAGACTAAACATTCGTACAATGTTTTTAACACAAATCTCAAAGTATATCGAGGGATCTGATTTGTCTGTTTTTATTTCATCATATGGATCTCTTGCAAGCGTGTTTGGTGACGATGGCGAAAAACGAACAAATCCAACTACTTAGAAAATAAGATTAATATTATTAAAAAAAATAATAATAAAATAAATGGAAGAGATGAGATTTATCCGATACGCTGCAGCTGAGTTCACTCGCGTCCTATCCCTCCCGCTACCACAAAAAGGTTTGGGCTGATCTCAATTGTTTGGAAGTTGTTGAAGGCCTTAATGATATCGGAATTTGATGATCTTGGGCTCGTTGGATTCGTCTCGTCGAGCCGTTCGATTCGAGTATAAGCTCATCAAAATCGGAGACCGTTTGGTAACTCAAATTGCGGTTTGAACCTTCCAACGGTGCTTTGAGCCCTTGATTCTAACTCATTTGGGCTCGGATTGGGTTGATCTTGATGTCGTTGGGTTCGTATTTCCGAGACGCTCAGTTTGACTGTAAGCTCGCTGAAATCGGAGTTCATATGCTCCCGAAATTAATTTTTGAAGCTTCCAACAAGTTTTTGCCTCGAGATTCATGCCCGATCAAGATAATTTTGCGATGTCGTATCAATACTTAATTTTTTTTTTCTTAAAAAGCATTTCCGATATGATTAATTATTTTGTGCAGACACCAAACGCCGTCCGGAGACCAATTGGAATGGGCCATGTCATCCCTGATGTGTCGCATTATAATTGGTCTCTGGACGACGGTCTTCGTCTAGTCCCTACACAGAATAATTTCTCTCTCGATAGCCCTCTTAATCCTATAAATCAGGATTTATGAGGCATATTTTGAATTTCATTCTATTGTTATTATTGATAGAGATCTTTTAGCTTCTAACGTACTATCCATATTTATTGATTCCTCGAAAAGTCTATACTTAATGAATGTTTCAATTGAAATTAAATTGAATTTTAAATATGATGTTGTAATAATTTTTTAATTTACTTAATATATATTTAAATGATACAATAATAATACAAATATTTGACCAAATTAAGATTAATTGCACACACAACACATGAAATATGGCTATTTACAAAATAACACTCTTACATCTATTTTTAACATCTCACCTAAATTTCAAAATTCATAAAAAAAAACCCTGCTGGCGGAAATATTAGTGTTTGGACAGCAGTACAGAGCGTACCTATCGGTGATGTTGTCGGTACCGAGCACCTAGTGATGTAGCGTATTTTTATTGGTCTTTGGACACGTTCAGTGTCCGAACACAATAATCACTCATACTGGTGCCCCCTTGGATCCGCCCCTGCTGGCAGAAATATCATTGTGTCTGGACAGCAGTACCGAGCATACCGATTGGTACTGCTGTTGGTACCGAGCAGTATTGGCACATGCCCCTGCTGGAGGAAATATTATTGTGCCCGGACAGGTACTGTTGTCCGTACTGAGCGTGTCGAGCTCGGTACTGCATTCGATACCAACCGTATCAAGTGCGGTACCAAGCACTTAGTGATGTGGCATATTTTTATTGGTCTCTGGACACGTTCGATGTCTGGACACAATAATCACTCATACTAGCGCCCCCTTGTATCCGCCGTTGTGTGTATGCATGACATGTGCAAATCATTTTTATTAAATAGATAAAATTTAATTATTTTACAGGAGATTTATGCTTATATCCTAACATCTAAATTTTGATATTCAATTGTATAACATTCAAAGTTTTAAATAACATAAAAATAATATTGATATTAACTTTTTTAAAGGGTAATACATCTTTTTGTGTATATATTTTAATGTAATTATTACACGAAAAATTTAATTAAATATGTAAATTTATATTTGCCCTGTATGTAACTCCTCCAAACATAAAATACATCTGAGTGCAAACCAAAAAATATTATATTTATTCATCAATTAAATATTTTATAACTAATTATGTATATTATTAACAATTATAAAAAAATTTCTTCTCCTGTCACTTTAAACCCTAATTCTATCACTATGCTTATCATATTGACTTATTCAAGCATTTTAAAATTTAGGGTTATCATCTCCAATTTATGAAATTTTATAAAATACTTTGATTATTTTTACTTGCCCATAATATATTGTAATATTATCGCACAAAATGTGTTATTTATTGTATTTTAAATTTGCATTTTAAACTCACTTGGTTGATGAATATATATATATTTAAATTTGCATTTTAAACTCACTTGATTGATGAATATATATATAAAAAAAAATTACTAATTTTTCCTAAATAATCAATTCTATAATTTCTAACTTTAATTTCATTCATATATGTAATATCAAAACTTATTAATACTATATATATTTTTAATAGAAATACAATGTATATTAATTTTTGCTAATAATCATATTCATTACATCATAAAATAAACTCATAACTATTATAACGAGGAAAAAATTATAAGAATAATTTAATCAAAATTTAATCATGAAAAAACTTATAACTCTTATTTTAATTATGAGATAAATGCAACATCAAAATGAAATAATTATTTATATATTACATTTATTTCAAAATGCATCTGAGAGATTTAGAACACATCATGAACTAATTTTTATTATGAAATATTTAAATAAGCAGCTTCAGTTCATCACTACAGGAGAAATTGAATGCAAGCTAAAGCTGGAAACGAGGAAGATTGACAGCAGCCCTAAACAAAGAGATCTGAAGCAGACCCTGCAAAGCAGTGTTACAATATGAATCTCAGGCTTTGTTTGGGACCGTTTTCTTCCTGTTTCTTAAAATAGCTTTTTAGTACAAAATATTAAAATTTTTATGCTAGAAAGCTGATTTAAAAAGCAATAAAAAACCGTCTCAAACAAAGCCTCAACCAGCAGTCAGGAAGCAAAATGGTTGAGGAAATGCGTTTGTAAAACAAAGAAGCTCCAAGTAGCAGATGCTGATCAGCGTTTACGCTCCGCACGCCATTTATAAACGGGTCTGGTTGTTGGGGAAGCCATCTCATCGTCGCGAAGCTTGCGCTTCCGACCGGGTTTCTAACACACAAAAATATAGTTATTCAACAGATTACTAACAAAGTAAAGCTTCTAGCTTAGAATCTATTGTTAATTCTTGATTACTATAGTTAAATTTTGGCCATTTTGATTAATTGTTAAAAATAATAATAATAATAATAATAATAAAATCTTTTTTCTAATGGTTCTAGTAAAACAAAATTGCCTCTATGAATTCCTCGTCTGAGATTCAAGCAACCTCAGCACTAAAAAACCAATAACCCGACCCAATCCCGGCTTGAAAGTTCAGGTTCAAGTTGGCTCGATCATTTTCAAGGCGAGTTTGGATTATAAATTTTGACTCGATTAAATTTCGGGGGAAGTTCTAATTGATCTGAAAATTCAAAATTAACTTGATTATCATTCGGATTTGGGTCAAACAAATCATTTCGAGATAAATAGTTGTATTTGGATTAAAACAGCTATGTTCACCTTGAGGTGCTTTCTTTTAAATGCAAACATATACCTGTAGTTCTTTTTGTAAAGCCATCTCAGAGTACAGCTTTTCAAGCTGTTCAACCCTTTTACTCCTTTCTTCCAGCTCCCGGTAAGAAGAAGAAGTTTTCCTGAAGGTAATCGATCAAGTTGCAAGAAAACAATAAACTTCATATAATAGACTATATTTACAAATTGCATCATCTGCACAATGACAAATCACAAATGTATAAATTTCTACCAGGTATATAAAATTAGCTTTGTGCGTCTTAAAGAGCCCTTACTTCCTTATATTCCTCGGCAAATTATGTTGGGCAGGTGAAGCATTGATGTGTAATGATCTTGATCTTATTTCTTTAGCTTCCTCCCTAATAAAAATGGCAGAATGAAGGAACGGAAAATCTGACAGGATGGCTTAATAGAAAAATATAATAATAGATCAATCAGTTCAGAGGAATGAAACCAAACATTTACAGCCAAATACACTCTGATGAAGCATTCAATAATTCAGATTTTCCAAGAATGTTAACGAAAAGAAAGCTCCATAAACTCAAATACAAGAAGGTACGAGAGCAAGATCCATTCAGATGTAGAAGCCAATCGTCAAAAACCTTACTCCCTTGAGTAAGATGAGTACTCCACAGCACAAAACGACTCAAGAGAAATCCTATAGGTACTGGAAGCTAGAATAAGTCAGATTAGCTGCTAACCCATTCCTTCTATACATCATTAGATTCACTGGCTCCACAGCGACGCATTCCGCTTTAAGTATCAAAAGATTGATTGATGTAACAAGATATATTGAAACAGTATCAGCAAATACTTTCCAGAGACAAATTTTTCCATGGTACAGAGCTGATGTGGAGTTCCAACTTCCAACTTTCAAACACTGGTAGACATGTAAAATAGTTTCAATGCATTGCCGCAATTTTACTCTGAAGAGAGTATATATTGAGTTTTGCTACTTAACTTTCAGATCAGCATGTAAAAATTTTAAATGATTCAAGTCATTAAACAAAAGGTATTCTCTGAACCAAATTTGGTTAAGTTGCAGCAAGTGTGGGTTTAAAACCTAAGGTCCATGGGTATCCATGCATTAGAAATAGTGCTTCTTCTCTCCTCCTTTTTGTACTTTAATGTCAAAAACTAGTTTAACTCATTCATGCAAGCTAGTAGAATTCTAAGGTTTACTTTGTTCCTTGCGAATCTAAACTAGTGTCTGCTACTTATGTCACTCAATTAAACCGAGAGATGGCAGTTATAAATGTTATTGTTCTAGCGGAGTATTTATTCTCTAATTCTTCCTAAATTTTATTCATTTTCCAATCTTCTATTAATCCCTCATCCTCTCCTAGTTGAACCTCTATCAAAGCTGGAATTTAAGTGAAAGAGGAATAGAATAGAGGCCAAAAAAAAAAAAAGATGAAGGATAAGTAAAATAAGGCCCAACTTTTCATAAAAGTGAGTACACTTGCCTCTTGCCTAAAACCTTACGAGTTAGCAGTTCACTGCATGCTCTCCGCAGTAAATACGATGTTGCCTATGCTTCCAAAATGATTACGGCTTACTGGTATTTTCAATTCAACTTAAAAAGTATGCATAACGTACTATCCCAGACCACCCAACCACCCCCTCCCTGCAGAAAGCAGTGCTAATGCACATATTGAAGAAAACTAAGGGATGCAAAACCCATAATGAATGTCATAAGGTTTTCATTTGGCAAGTAATAAGATAAGAAAACAAGTTTTCAAGCATAGATGTGCTGGAAGAATAATCATGGAAGAAAGCAAAACCTGATATATAACGGAACATTTCTATGGAGAGCGATAATAACCACAGTGAAAATGAGAAGAATGTACCTAATCTTTCCCTACTGAACTGAGCCATTTGGTACACCAGGGCTGCCGGTGGGTACTATGTTGAGTTTCTAAGTTATTTTTCTCTATCTCAATATGGATCTCTCTGCAAGTCCACCTCTTCCATCTATCCACAACTCAGCTTATATACTTGTCCCCAACCCTACTTTTACATGGGCATCTGTCACAGATCTACCCTCCATCCAATAACAGAAACCTGCAACAAACCCCCATGAACTGTAGAGGTCTCCTGACCGCCAGGCCTGGTGCTGAAGGATTCGCACTCTCCTATACCCCAAGCAAGAAAGGACAAGGTGGCTTTTTCAGTAAAAAAGATTGATGACAACTCTCAAAACTGGAGCCCAGATTTAATTACATGAAGAAGACCATCCTACGGTAATCTTATTTTTGCTACTTATTAAAATATGGTGGCTCACAAGTACTTTCAATCTCTGGTCTCTAGCAGATGTTTTTTTCTATTTAAATTTACACGTGTGAAAGATATAGAAATGGTTAGTAATGTTGAACTTTAATTTATTAATGGAAGGTCATTTATCTTCAAGAAATGATCACCTGACTTTGTTCCTATCAAAGAGAACTTTGAAGTTGTTGTTAATCCTCTTACTGCCTCAAAATCTAGACTGACCAAATGCGAAGGTTAGTGTTCAAATTTCAACCACTTTCATTGTACTTGATAACATCACACTCATTCTCAATGGCAAGAAAGTTATTCAACTTATTATATATGAATGGAGGCCAATTCCATGTTCCACATGCACCACCTTTGCTCATGAACACAATAGCTACCCAAATATGAAAACTCTAAAGCTCAACTATCAAATAGTCATTGTGCTAGAGAATTTGTTGTCGGACTAAGTTTGAGTCCTTAAGAGAGGTCAATCGACTTGAATCTATCTCCTTCTTTAATCCACCTATCATCAACATCTCAAATAATCCACCACCAATCCTTCCACCTATCAGAAACCCAAACCTCAACTCACCTAAATCTCCTACTCAATCTAACCCCTCTATCTTCACCTCCCCCCTAAATCATACAAAAGATGCCTCCTCTTTTAGACCCAATATAGTAAACATTAATTTTACATTGTACCAAACTTCACACCCCATAAACTTTGGGTGAACCGCCCCCGGAAAGATGACTTAATGGAGATAGTTGTGGTTTCTTCCTCTAATAGAAGAATGTCTAGAAACAAGAAGCCCCCCATCCCTCAAACGACAGTCAATAATAATATCTTTTTTCACTATCACAATTTAGAATGTTAGGGGCTTAAATAGGGATAATAGGCCCCCTGATTATAGGAATTTAGTCGAAGGCTACCATCTTGATGTCCTCTATCTCATTGAAACTAAGATCTCCTTCTCTGTCTTGTTTGATCCACTCTTATCAAGAAACTATCTTTGTTCAGGGAGATAATTATTAATATTTTGAATAAGACTCTAGTGGTCATATTTGGGTCAAATGGAGCTCTAACAAGATCACCTTCAAACCATTGCATTCATACTCTCATTATAATCATGGTTGGATGGAATTCCCTCCAAAAATTAAATTCTACACTGCATTCATTTATGCTAAAAATGGTGCTATAGAGAGAAAACCTCTATGGGATGCTATTAATAATGTCCCCTTATATTTTTTAAGCCTTGGATCATTTTGTGGGATTTAGGAAGTGTAAATGAAAAAAATAAATAAATAAATAAATATGCCTTCTCACCTACGAAAATTTGTAGACTTCAACAATTGTGTGTTCCCTATTTGCCTTTTGTAAGGAATTATATAATGTGAAAAAGTTATCAATGGCTGTAATTAGAATTCTTCCATCTTTATTTCTTGATTTATTTCCTCGCTCAAGCTCAAACAAAATACTTCAATCTTCTAGAGAGCAATCCCCTCAACATACCCCTTCTTCAGGAACCTCTTATTATCACAAACAAACTGAAACAACCAATAAGTTTTAAGAAACTAAGAATAAGTTGATAAAGCAACATGCTAAATGTGCTTGGTTCTCAAATGGTGAAGATGACCTCAATTCATTTATCATAAAATCAAATGAAGGAAAAATCACAACTTCGTCAAAGAGATCGTGACCCTTCAAGGTTGTGTTACAGATCCAGATGGTGTTGTTGAATTTGTTATCAATTCTTTCTATACTCTACTAAACAAAGAACATTACTCTACTACTGTTGCCTCTTGAGAGAATGCTAGTAACAACCTCATAAGAAATGATTGTGAGATGTTAATGGCTAATTTCTCTGTCTGATATCAAGAAGGCAATTTTTAATATTGGGAAAGATAAATTCTGGATTCACGACTTAATTAAAATAGTTTTAAAGATACATGGGTTATAGTGGGCCTTGCTTGGTGAATGTGGTATATTACTTCTTCCAATCTGTTAAATTATATGATATAACTAGGCATTTTGTTATTATTCTAATTCCTAAGCATCTTCACATGAAGTCTCTCAATAACTATCGACCTATATCCCTCTATAGCACTCTATATAAGGTTATCACCAAATTAATTGCAGGCAAATTTAAACGTATTTTTTTCCAAATTTAATCAACTCTGCCAAATATTCTTTCATGTGTGGGAGAGATATTATGGATACCATTTCCTTGGCTAATGAACTGCTTAGAGGGTTCAACTTTGCAGCTAAAACTAAATTATTTTGAGTTAGGCCTGATCTCATCTTGGTTGTTATCTTTCTCAAGCCCTTGTTCATGTTGGTACCATCTCAAACAAGATTATATCATGCTTCTCTCTACTAGCTCTCCAGATTAGGCATATTACATTTGTCTAGAAAGAAAAAATCACCTTTGGTTAAATTTTATTATCCTATGCAATTAATGTCGAGAAAATTTACTTTGTTATTTGAATCAGCAGTTAGAAATGGAAATTTAAGAGCATTTCCACGAGGAATTTCGTTCTCTTTATTGTAATCGATCTAACGATGAGCTTGTCATATGATTGTGATGGTTTTATATATTCATCTATTATGACAGTAGTTTGTTCTTAAATGCCTTTGTTTTTCTTGGGGTTGAACAGTGCAAGTTAGATCAATCTTTTGGGCAGCTATTTTTTCCTCCATGGATGATTTCTTATTATGCTACTTCACTGCTCACGCTCTTTTTAACCTGCAACATATGGATTTTTAATTTTTGTTCTGGCATGAATGATATGCTTTAATTGAGGTTGAATGCGACAAACTCTATTCGCTCTACACATATACTACACTTGAATACTTGGATACTACATACTATGCCAATTCATATTTGCATCTCTTGTTGGACAAATCCAATCATACATTTTCTTCTGATGCCAATCCTTTTTTTTTTCAAAAGTCTATCTTAAATCATTTCTTCTACTTTTTTGTTTTATTGTAATGCAGCTTTTATAATTTTTACATAGATGAAATGCAAATGGCTGGGCATGACCCTTATCTTTCCAAAAAAAGAATAATGTACCTATCTTCAGCATAGTAAACATGCTTGTTTGGTGGCTTGTTGTCCAGTGCATGAAGTGCACCCCTGAGCCTTTCAATTTTCTGCATAAAAAGAAAACTACTGTAGCATTAATGAAATGCCAGTGTTCCATCAAGCCTGAAAAAGTTTGGTGCTCCACTATTAACCTTCTTCTCACTCTGAAGTTTCTGAATGACATATGCAATATCTTGAGTCTTCATCAACATTAGTTCATCGTGGCTATACTTGTTTGCTTGGCTCCTTTAAACAAGATGCACAAAATAGCAAAAAAATGAAAAGTTGAAAAATTAAGATATAATAAGGTGTTTATGGTTTATTACTTTGGTCTATGTACTCCATCAACCACTCTCGAACTAATCATCTTGAAATAGAACTCATCTGGGTTCCTGGACATGGCTTTCTCTCTAAGTATCTGTAAAAACAAGAGCCATCACTAAATCTCATTAGAACCCGTTCTGACACAAATACAGCCATTGTACTAGAAATATTACTGAAAAACCATACACGAAGAGTCTCTTCTTTCTTATGGAAGGACTTGGCTCTCTCCACATAATCTTTGTGCTTCTCAAGAAGTCCAAACTTCTTCCTTGCTTGACTGGAGATACAGTTCAAACAATAAAAACTCCAAGCCTTCTTACATAATTTACAATAACAAATAAATAATCATGTCGTCTGTTGCAAGACTTACGGCTGTGCCCGTTCCTTATGTGCTCGTCTCGGAATTGCATTCCTAATAGAAGACATCGTCAATAACACACAAAGAGATGAGCCCAAAGTTAAGCGAAGATTCTCCACACAAAACACCTCCTGTTCAAATTATAACAAATTACTACAGAATAGTCAAAATTGCAAACTTCAATCCTGCAGAATTTAAATCCACTAGCTCCCCCATTTTACCCGGCTATTTGGTATCGGATTTACAGTGGGATTTACGCTAAATGCAGCCAAACGGTTTTTGTGCGCGCGTTAAATCCCGGCAATGGATAAATCCCGTATTTAAGGATTTACGGCATAAATCCGGGATTCACTAAATCCCTCGGCTCGGCGGATTTACGGGATTTGGCCGAAGATGCGCGCGAGCTCCCGTTGTTGCTTCCGATCAAAATGTCGTAGCTTCCGATCCGACAGGAAGGTAAAGTCGTCAAAGGAGCGTAGTCGAACAGCCACGAAGGAGTCGAACAGCCACGAAGGAGCCGAAGAAGCGACGCGTGCTACTTTTTTTGTGATGTATATAAATATATAAGATTTTTCCTTTCCTTAGCAGTTATCCGCTGTATATGTACCTAATTTCAGCTTCGGTTCTGAAAAGGAGCTCAAGAAGCAGAAACATAAGCGCTCCAATCTCCCCGTCTCCCAAATTTCTCCCTCTTCCTGTAGCATGCCAGCGGGCTATTGCAGTTCATCGCGATGGCAAACCCTAGGCGGATCAGCATCCAGCTACACAACCACCACTCCACCATTCCTCTCTCCAATCACTCTCCACCGCCCGCAGTGGCCTTTCTCTCCTCCATCGCCGCCTTCCTGAAAAGGCCCTCCGCTTTTCCCTTCGTCCTCTCTCTCTTCCTAGTCCTCACCTGGCTCTGCCTTCGCGTTCAGCGAACTCCTGGTTCCGCTTCGTTGCGTTTCCGAGCACAATCGCAGAGCGGGCGTGACGCAGACGCTGATGCCAATATCGCTCGGTTCAGCGCACCTTCGCTGATTTCAAATGATCGGCGAGGTTGGATTTTGAATCCCATCGGTGTGGCCCTCGATAAGGGCATCCACGGTATTTTCGCTTGCTAGAGATCTTCGCATGACCATAATTATTACCATTGTCAGTTTTTAGGTTTTTTATTGTGTTCATGGCAAGGATTTTGGCTAATTTTAATTGTAGCTATTAACTTTGATTTCGCTCGCTCACTAGATCAGCATTTTCTGGTTTCTTTTTGAAAAAGAATGATTTTTCCTCATATTTATTGCATTTTTTTAATTGTTAGGAAGTCCTACGAGTTCTTTTTAAGGGAATTGAAATTGAGTAGATGGATGGGCAGAGATCAAAATGGCGTATGTGAACTATATGTTGCCCATGACATTATAAAAAAATGGGCGTTCCTGAAACTGCTTATGCATAACTTCCAGAAAATTAGGCATTAGAGCTTGAATGAACGTAAGATTGAATAAATTAATGGCTAAATTTTAAAAACAGCTTCCCTTTAAAATTAAATTAGGATTCAGGGGAGGGATAGATCTGAATTTTGAATTTGGACCTAATCGCCCAACAGTTGGAGAATTTTAAGCCACATGGTGCTAATCGCCAGTCATGTGGCGATTTTGAATTATTATTTTTTAAATAAAAAAGACCCAACGGCTAGCTCAACTTGGCTAGCTGTTGGGGGTTTTTATATAACCCCATTTTATGCTTCATTCTCCTCAAGCCACCCATATAAAGTATACTAGTCTAGCATCCAAAGCATGAATAATTCATTGAAGTTAACTAACCAATGACATTTTAGTAACATGATATGCTTATAAGAACAACTTGTTTACACCAAAAATACAAAGAAAGCAACATTTTTTTAGGAGCGATTCTTTGGATTCAAAGGACATGTTTTATTATGCCCAATGTTGGGGATGTGGAGGAGTAAACACCACAATGACGAAATAAGCAAGAAAGTAAAAGAAGCGAAAAAAATAAATGACACCATGATTTAACGTGAAAAAATTCAAAATATGGAAAAAAACTACGGACCTACACCACACCAAGAAATTCATTATGAAAATTGAGAGAAATAAATACAAATCTTTCTTCTCTCTCAATCTTATTTGCTTCTCTTCTCACATGCATCATTCTCTATGTGTACATTACATTTCATAAATATAAGAAAAAGCTACGTAAATAACCCCAAGGGACACAACCCTTCATAAAAACGAGAAAGAAAATCATCCAGTCCATCTCACAGAGCTGCAGCGTCAGTTTGGGGCTTTGCGGCGCTCAGACCTCTGTCTGATGATGTTGCGGCGCCAAACTTGCAGCGTTGATGCGCGTAATCCAAAGTACTATGGCACTCTACTCTTTGTCGATCAGCGCTGGGGTACATAGTTCCGGGATATTGTATGAAAAAAATTTCAGGTGCAAAGCAGGAGGTAAACTCCTCGCACCCCCTAACAAGCACGACAAATTTGAGGTCCGAGACAACATAACAACCCCATTAATCAACACAATCATATTCCACACATAACACCCAACACCTTTGCGAGATGTTGCAAATTTTATTTGTTGGCAACCTAGTTTCATCCATCGTATTTGTATAACATATTGTGTGTGGACATTCAGATCTCTTGTGAAAATTCGGGGGAAGTTGTTTGATAATATTATCACTTAGACTGTAATCATGCCATTCTGACTTGGGAGGTATAACATGAAATTCAGCTTCATATGTGTGCCCATAATGGATGATGCTGTAGTATGATGAAGTGTACAATTCAGACCAACTTGACCTAAACTTAAACTGTAATCACATGTGAGCATGGTATGTGGAAGGCCTGTGGCCGATTACAAGCACAAGTAGCAAGATTAGATTTTGGCATTAAAACTTTAAAAGATTGACAAGTGGTATCACACACTTCAAATTTATTCATGTTTATGCATGTCGGTGTGGGCATCTGGCTTCGGCCTCATTGCGGTGCAAATTGTTGGCAACCCTTGAGGCAAAATGTTCCTTCGTTGCATGAAGTTCTATAGCCACATACATGGTCTTGATGGCTCGTGTTGTTAGGCGCAACATAATGGCAATCGAGTTTTGCTCGAGTAAACTATATTGCACTTCACATTATTAATAATGGACCATCCAGTAACAACACATTGCAATTCATTCTTTGTTGCAAAGAACATATCCTCCACCAGTTCATCAGGGATAAAGCCTTCTTTTGTTGTTGTTATGTGATCATTTGGCCTGTCAACCTTTGATTCATAGAAATTCTTTGATCGATGAATTTATGGACATAAGACTGTTGCCTGTTGGGGAAAAAAAATAATGGATTCATAGGGTGCTGAATAATTATATCCGTATGTTTTTCATTTTACATGATCATAGCTCAGAGTTTGCTGAATTTGTAGCGACCATGAAATAAGGATCTCTTTTACGCTCTCTTTCTAACTCCTCTCCTAACCCTTCCTATTTTGAATTCTAGAGGCCGTACATATGGAGACCTTATGGTCATGTAATAATTTTGTGTTAAAAAAGATATGATAAGCATAAAATGACCTGAAAAATAATTTGTATGCCTCCAACTAAGTAATACAGTGCCACAACGGTTGAGTTCATAGAGCCGCAGCGTTGTATGGTTGTATGGAAACCCTTGCAACCTCCTAACGAGCTCGATAGATTGAATTGAGATACAATGCAACAGTACCACTTGTTCGATCAACACAATAAGATTCCACACAAAACTAACAATTTTCTGATCTTTTATTTGAAAGCAAATGATTAAATTTGAGTTATCATCAAGTAAAAAATGTGAAAAATGAAAAGGACTTTACATAAATAAGGATTTTTTTTATTAATGCATGTATCATACTAATTATACTCACTTAAACAGGTGGCGCTCAGATCTGCAAGTCAATTCATGCAGGTGAGATTCGGCCGGGTGCCTTTAGGGGAAATCACAGACATCATACCTGCAATGAGACATTTCTCATTTGGGGAGCCGAAACAAAGTTTAGGGTATGCTTATCTTCAATCTAAGCTGAAGATCTTTCTTTTTGTTCCATCACACTTCATTGCTTACATAAACTCTTGCTACTAAGGCCTAATTTGATTGGATGTTTTTTGTGCCTATTCTTTTCTAAAATTGTAAATTTATTGTTTGGTTCCTCAAACCACGTTCCCAATAACACTTTTTGTTTTCATTTTTCTGTTGTTTTAAAAAAGCTTTTTATATATACTTCTCCGTTTAGAAAACTCTTTTATCTATATTGGTGTTTCTTAAAATTATCTTTTACAAAAGTACCGGATAACCAAAACGAAGCCAAACTATGCAGCTGGAGAATCCACACATTGAAGGGAAGGGCTATGCAGAAGTAAGCATCGGCGCTGTTGAGGTCGCCATTGCCGCAAGCCCAAGCGGTACTGCACATGCCCTTATCAATAACGATCCTGTAAGACCAACCTTCTTCCTTGGTTGTCAGGACAGCATCATTGATAATAACAGTTCCACTACTGACTACAAAGTTTGGGAAGATCTTTTGACATCATAGCTTTGGTCTATCGATCAATTTCTTTAAAATGGGTGAGTAAGTCATATAGGAGATTTTGTGATTTTTTTTTTAGGATCTTGATAATAACTTCTAAGATCTTTATCAATTAAGGTTTTGTTGGGATGACTTTTTTGTTGTTTCTTAAAGCAGTTTTTTAGTACAAATATTTTAATTTTTGTATTAAAAAGCTCCTTTAAAAATCAACGAAAAAAGTCATCCCAAACGAAGCCAAGTTAATTGTGCTAAATATTGTATGTCATTTCTTTCTTAGTCATCGGTGTTTTGCTTAAATGTACAGTTTGAATTTCTTTAGTGATTATAATGTGATTATCTGTGCAATCGTGGGATTAGGCACAGCAACGCAAGCTTATTACTCATTGAGATTTTTTTCTAAACTTTTCTTACTTCGATTTGAGCAAGTCTGGAGGCATTTTACACACAACAGTAGTTTAATGGGCAAACATATAGTTGGGAAGGCTATTGACAGGACCAGCAACATGTGCAACAATTTTGAAACTCTTGGCATCAAAGAAGAGCAGAGGAATTTATGATAAGATATCGGTGGTGGAAGAAATTATTCTGTACGGATATCGGGTCGTTCGGAGGCGAATCAGAACGCACTATGTCACTCTCTACATAGTAGTATACATCAAACAAATGATGTGCCGCATTTCTGATTCGCTTCCGAAAGACGTCCGTATCCGCACAGAATAATTTCACCCATTGAAGGGATTGTCATCTTGTGCGGCGGTCTTACAACCCTCAACGTCGAAAAAGAGTTAAGTAATGATGCAGAGGTAGGGTATCTTTCAAATTAATGAGAATGAGATATTTTTTCATCGCTTTCAAAAAAATTTTATACTAAAAAATTATCGCTGTAAACAATAACGAATATCTCAAACTAAACCTAATGTCACTCCATATATAAATTAAATAGAAAACAATTGAGATCAGATTGCCGGCTAGCTCGAATCAAATTCATCAAAATTTCTCCAAAATCAAAAGATTATTCCAAATGATTTTAAAAAAGAGGAAACATCAAATATTGATTTATAACTAAAATATATGACATATTTCATCAGTCTCTAATTTCTTCCCCTTCAGCCAACTTTAGGAGTCTTAATAACTATTCCTTCACCTGCATTAACATTCTCTGGGCATTCAACCCAAATCCACACACGATCGCAGCAACAATTCATAATTACTCTATCAACGCTCCTTATCAATATTGCATGGACGTCTGGGTTCTCTCTCTCAATCACCTCTTTTGCTGCCCAGCCTTTGTGGCCAACTAGCTCCGGCCAGCTCTGCTTGCTCCCTACATTAACAAACATACTAATTAATCCAATCATACACTGTGTATTTATCCATAATTACAAGAAAAATGAATGATTTTAGCTTGATTTGTTAAAGATAATGATCGAAATGGTCTCCTGACTCTTTACGAATGATCAAAATGATATCCGTTTATTTAAAAATCTCATTTCAGGTTTCGTTTTTATTGCTTTTTAAAATAGCTTTTTAGCAAAAAAATTATAATTTTTATATTATAACGTTGTTTTAAGAAGCAGCAAAAAAACTGTCACAAACGAAGCCTTAGTCTCTTCATTTTTTAAATACTGATCTCAATGATCTCACAACAGGAATAATTTGTTTCCTATTTAAAGAGAAATGATACCCACCAATGTTAGCTCGGTTGGTGGGAGAGCGCGGTTGGGTACCGGTCCGCGTTTGATTCCCCTCAAGTGGCAGCGCCTCTAAAGTGGGGCCCATGAAGTGTGGGCTAAGAGGTGGTGGATATCTCTTTTAGGTCAGCCGATGATTAGTCACTCCGCCAAACACTTCTACGAGAGTGGAGGCTGAATAACCCGTTTCCCAAAAAAAAGAGTAAAATGACTAAATTGATAATTTTATATAGTCGGGAACTATTTTAATGGTTCAGAAAAACTTAGGAGATTTATTATTAGGTGGTAAGGATAGAAATTTATCTTAAACATTGGGCTCTATATAAATATAAGTAATTAAAAAAATAACATATATAAATAAATAAAATTGATTAAAAAACAAATATATATATATATATATTTACCAGTTTGACTTTGACAGCCATCCCCATCGCAGGGAAAACAACCAGACATAGACAGCTACTGTAATTTCTAAACCAATTCAGGAGATCAAATTGGTAACAAATATTAAATTAAATAATATTTTATTTAAAATAATTTTCTTACTATTTTCTACAACAGCTTTCTAATTGATTGGACAACTTTCTTGCTGTTTCATAAATTATTTTTTTAAATTAAAAATTTTTAATTAAAAATTGCTTTATGAAAGCCATCCCAAACGAAGCCTATATCAAAGCTTTGATTTCTTTTCAACTTTTCCAAAAGCAAAAAGATTGTGATGTCTCCACCTCTTTCATCTACTTTATATAAATATTTTTGTCGGACTTATAGCCAATTAAAATCAAAATCATATATACATAATATATTTAAACTTTGAGCCCATGATTTTTTAATTAATGGTAGGATCTTATCAGTAAGACAAATAATGGGCATAATTGTCATGTTACAATATAAAATAACTATACAATCTTGTTGTCCATAATCTTCCATCACAAATGCCATGAATAATAAAGCTTATAAATCAATCATCACTGTTTTTTTCACCTTTCTTCTCTGCATTTTCAAGTTCATGATCATTTGCATCAAAACAACTTAGATTAGAGTTAAAAACGAGTCGGGTCAAACTCGAGCTCATCTCATCGCTCCAAAAAGCAGGTTGAATTCGAACTCGATCTTGGCTCGTCAGTACATTCTCAGTGTCTTGAGAGCTTGCTCAATATGAAGTCCAGGGAGGAGCTGCTTCCAGCTTCAGGAAAGTATTAATACATTCTAGAGGCCTTGTACAGTACATGAATTCTAAAGAGAACTCTCTTTCTATATACAAACATCCCATTCGAACAACTCTGATGAGTACAATATACAAATGTTCTCAGTTTTTCAGCTACAATAGAGAGAGAAGTACAACAAAAAAGAAACTGGAACAAGTTTTTACCTCACATTTACACTGCAAAAGACCTTACTGAACCAAAAAATAAGAAAAAAAATCACCCTAATGAAGAACTATGGGATGCCATTATATAAACCAGTCGAACCAAATAGAAAATATGAACAAAATGAAGGCAAGCATAAGGAAAACAACATAACATATGGTTTCCTAGGAAAAAAATGGGAGCTGGGAGCTCAACTTTGTGCTCCATCTTCTTCACCTACACTGATATCTTACACATCTCTAGTCTTCCTCAGACTTCCACACAACATCTTTGAGAGACGTTGAGAGTTTTTTGTAGAACTGCAGACAGAGAAAGAAACAAAATATAGATCAATGAGTGCAGTGAGTGGTGATTTCATGTGTGTTTTTCTTTCTTTTAGCTATTAGTTAATGTAGCACATGATCTCACACAGTGTTATAAATGAACCAAGCCGAACCAAGTACTATCTTGTTCAAACTAGTTCATTAAGCTTGCGCATGACCTGAATTTTTTAAATATTTATCAAGTTTATTTATTAATTTTTTATTGAGTTTGAGTCCTAATTAAGCTTAAATAATTATATTTTTTATTCTTTTAATTTAAACATATGTACTCATTACTAGTAAATAATTAAATTTATATGCTTTAATAAAATTACTATAATTGGAAAATTAGTATTTACATTATTCAATGAAGTTCAAATATTTATAAGAAAAAATTTATAGTCTATGTATTTAGTTATTTGTTTGATATTTGATCATACATATACCACAAATAATATACTTCAAATAATATGCATATGTTGGAAGTACATAAGATATAAAAAAATTGATATAATAATGTAGAATAATTAATTAATTAAACCATAAATAAATAAACAAGTTTTTGAGCTCTTAACTAATTGATTGATAAGCAATAAATGTTTATGTTCAAGAACATAAATGAATGAGTAGGTCAATGTTCAAACTTGTTCATTCACGCTTTGAGTTTTAAAATTTTACTCAAACTTTGTTTAATTACCAAAATAAAAAGTTTTAAAAATTTACTCAAACTTTGTTTAATTACCAAAATAAAATATATAAATAAGCCTTGTACATATATCAAGTTGCTCATCGAGTGCACTAGTTCTTTTATAGCCCAATCATATGCACTAGTTCCCTCTTTTGAAGTCGACCTTATTTGCAATTCACTCATGATTTTAAGCAAGCTCGCATTGAGAAATAAAAATGAGATCACATTTTAAATTGTCCAAAATTGCTTTCTAAACAACTCTAAAATTGAGAACTAACTTAGATTTAATTACAACAACATCAAGCCTTTATCCCACTACATGGAGTCGATTACATGAATCTTTTTTCTCCATTATGTCCTGTTAAGAGTCAAATTCTCATTTAAATAATTAAATAATAAAGAAATGTCATTTCTGATATGTTCTAAGCAAGTATTTTTAAGTCCACCTCTAACTTTCTCAACATAAGTCAAGTCTAATACATCTACTCTCCTAAACAGGTCATCAGAAGGTCGTTGTTTTATGTGACCAAACCATCTAAGACGACTCTCTAACCTTATCTTCCACCGAAGCATCATCATCTCTTCAATAATTAACTTAATATTAGGCTTCTCTTTTAATGGCTAACATTTTGCACCATGAAGCATTGCAGCTCTCACCACCATCTTGTAGAATTTTTCCTTAAGTTTGAAGGGGCCTTTTATCACACAACAAGCTCGATGCATTACTCCACTTCAACCATCCAATATGAATTCTACTAATAATATCCCCATCTATTTCACCATCACTCTAATAAACAATTGATTCAAGATATCTAAAACATGTACTTTAATGACTTGATCGCCCAAAGTCACACCCCCCACTAGATCTATTAATACCAAAATTACACTCCACATTTTCAGTTTTAGATCTACTCAAACGAAAACCTTTAGACTCTAAGGTTGGCCTCCATAATTCAAGTTTATCTTCAACTCCCTCTCTAATCTTATCAATAAGAAAAATAACATTAGCAAAAGCATACACCATGGTACAACCTCTTGCAAATGTCTAGTGAGAACATCCATGACAAAATCAAAAAGATATGGCTTAAGGCTAATCCTTGATGTAATCCAACAAAAATAGAAAAATAGTTGGTCAAACCACCTTGTATTTGAACACAAGTAATAGCTCTTGCATACATATCCTTAAAGACTTGAATATAAGCATTATTAACCCATTTCTTTTCTAGAACTCTCCATAGCACTTCTCTTAAAACTTTATCATATGATTTCTTTAAATCAATAAATATCATATGTAGATCCTCCTTATTCTCCCTATACTTCTCCATCAAACCTCTCAATAAATATATAGTTCCATGGTAGACCTACCCGGCATGAATCCAAATTGAATTTGAGAAACATTAGTATCACGTCGTAACCTATGCTTCATAACTCTACCCCATAGTTTTAAGGTATGATACATTAACTTAATTCCTCTATAATTCGCATAATCTTGTGTATCACCTTTATTCTTAAAAATTGGAATCAATGCACTCATTCTCCATTCATCTGCATCTTTTTAGTCTTCAAATAATATTAAAAAGTTTAGTAGGCCAAGAATGAGTTAATTAAAATAGCTTATTGGATGTTCATTACATAGCAAACTTCATGCACATTGAATTATAATTTGAGCTACATAGTAATAATGATCCCTTAACATTGCACATTTCAAGTGTGAGCTCTATTTAGAACTTGATAAGGAAGAAAAAATTCGCTGGGTTAGGGAAAACTGCTTTACCACATTTATAGTGGTTAAGGATTAGGTTCACATAAGTACTTATTATCATGGCCAACTAGCACTGAACAATACCTTATGGAACTCCAAAGTGTCCCCTTTGGCTTTCCGAACCTCAACCATATGAAGAGAAGGTGCCACTTGAAACACCTAAGTCAGTAATATCAAGTATAAGCATTATACAGAACCCTCATGTAAAACTTCATATAATTCCAAAATCTCATACTTCAGTAGCGATGTTGAGGTTTCCTTTCCTTCCTGCTTTCAGATTTTCCAGTCTCATCTGAATAAAGGAAAAATGGAAGATAACAATGGATTCATATAAGGATGCCGAAATTTTGATTGGACTTTTCTTCTAGAGTGATTTACCTTATAATTTTTCTTCTGTACATCAAATCCAAGAGGCTTTGCAGCTTCTTCAATCTTAGTAATGATTTCATTGGCTGGAGATTTTGATGTAAATCTTGTTTCTCTTTTGAATTCCTGGAAAAGGGAGTAAGAAGAATTCAATTAATATACAAAAGCACTTAACCAGGCTTGATCGACTAGGACAAACTGCCAATTTATGATTTTAAATTAACTGTAACTTTGAAATGGACTAGGAAGAAATATATGCTAGTCAATATTAAAGTTACAGGGATTCAGCTGAAACGAATGTAGCAATTACCCGAGCTCGCACTCTGTGAGGGAATAAATGTAAGTAGATTAGGAGAGAGTGAGTGGGTTATTGTGGGTCTTAATAGTTCATAGATAATTAGTGCTTATTAGATCATCGGTAAGTATCAATGAATCATTAATTCTCTTTGTATTCTATAAAGACTCCCTTGTTTGTTGGGAGAATTAGAGTATGCAAAATGAATAAAGAAGCTATGGCTTCTCCCTCACTTCCCAATTTGGGCTTCCTCAAATTTCCAGCCTCTATTTTTCTATTCTGTTTTTGGAGTCTAGATTAGCTCGAAATTTCCTAGTTATCCTGCTATATATTTTTTCTAGCTGTTTTTGTTATTAGGTTTTGGTAACATGATCCTACATAAAATTGGATTTACTTCTCTTATTTCTATAGAGAGAAATAAGTTAGCTCCTACAATCATATAAATTCATATAAAAGAAGATAAAAAATATATATGGAACAGAGGCAATGCATGAAAATCAGTAAATAAACCTGTTCTCCATCAAATAAGTTCCCAAGTTTTAGCCCCTTTGACATTGAAATCAGGTCAAAAGCATTCAGAGCAGCAGGTTGTTCCTCCTTTTTCTCTGTTACATGATGTTCCTGACACATCCAAAACAAAAAGTTAAAATTATGATTCAGTTGAAACATAAATTAATTTATAAATGATAATAAATTTTTTCTGTGGCTCACTTCTGAGTCCTTGAAAACCGCATCGATATCATCTAAATTTGTGACACAATTCTCATCAAAAATTGGTGGTTTATAGCCTTTCTTGAACCATGCATCCTCCAATATCTCGGGAACACTAATGCGCTGCGTCAACAAAGAGCAAGTTGAATTAATAAGTAGCAGAGTAACAATAACAGATAACACTGTTCAATCTGTCTTTCAACAAAAACAACATCAAGCCTTTGTCCCACTACGTGAGGTCGGCCAAATGAATCCTTTTTCTCCATTGTGTTCTGTTAAAAGTCAAATTATCATTTAAATCTAATAAGGAAAGATCATTTCTAATATTCTCTAACCAAGTCGTTTTAGATCTGCCTCTACCTTTCTTAACATAAGTCAAATTTAATACCTCTACTTTCCTAACCGGGTCATCGGAAGGCCGCCGTTTTATGTGACCAAACCATCTAAGGCAACTCTCTCTAATCTATTGTGTATCCTATTCATGAAACCTGTGCTGGTGTTTTTTTTTTTTTTTTTTTTTTTTTGTACCAACTCGCCTCATGCAGTCAACTTTTATAACAAAACAGGAAATAAATCTGACTATTTAACCAGGAATGAACGAATTAAAAGGTGCAATCACAATTATATGTGTAGATATGGACTGATAATTCTTTTTTTTTTTCTTTTTTGAAAATTTATGAATAATGTCACACTTTCACTTCTTGTTTCAGCTTTGATGATGAAAGAAACAGAACTAAGCTACTCACTGTGATGGGATTTGGATCCAGTATTCTTGTTATCAATCTAGTGGCATCTGAAGAAAGCCAAGACGGGCATGAAAATTCAGCAAAAGATATCTGCATTGAATTGATAATCATTTTTATCAATAGATGATTTACACCAAAATAGTTTTACAATATTAAGAAAAATGTGAGTGCTCACTTTCTTATACAAAGTCATGACGCTATCATCTTCAAAAGGTAAATAACCAGCAAGCAGAACAAATAGAATAACCCCGCATGACCACAAGTCTGCAGTTGTGCCATCATAACCTTTGTCATTAAGTACCTAGTATGGAAACAAAAAAAAAAAACAAATTCCTTTGATATATTTGGTTTTATAGAACAACAAATATAAAGATAATCCAAAATTATCCTTGCCTCTGGAGCAACATAATTGGGAGTCCCGCAGGTAGTATGAAGCAAACCATCATCCTAGATGAAAAATCATTATGATTTAACATCTAAATCAAATTTCACCGACAAAACTATATCAGAAATTCAAACTACGAGGCATGCAAAGTAGAGAACAAATAAGTAGAGTCCACGTTATAGCAATTTAAAGAGCATGGCAAGCATCTTATCCATGACAAAAGCTATTGCATCTGAAAAATTAGCAAATCATGAACTCCTAGACGATTGTAGTATTATAGAAAGGCCGGTAGTTATTATAGAAAGGATAGTGAAATGAAGAATGAACATACAACATGAAAAATGAATATCTTGACTAAATTATACAAATTTAGTGCAAAATAGAAAGCATTATAGCCCATAATAGTGCGCCAAACTTTCTGAACTATTAGCATGGCAGAACACAACAACAACATCAAACATTTATCCACTATGTGGGGTCAGTTACATGAATCTGATGCATCTTGGAAGTAGAAAAAAAGCAAACAAGAGAATAAAAACATAAGAACACAAGGTAATGGCTGTTTTTTGAATTTCTTCTTCAAAATCAAAGCAATATATAATTAATCTACTCTTCAAGAGATAGATCAGCTCTCCCACAAACCCTAGCCACCATTAAGAGACTCACTAAATAAAACAACAGAAATTCTGCATACCTTGAAATTACCCCATAGTTAGTCCTAAATAGGCTTCCTTAATTCCCTCCCAAATCAGCCTACTTTCCTTACAAGATTCCATCTCTAATTTGAATTTGATTAGGATCTCTTTTCCTAAATAATCTCCCCCCAATTATAATTAAAACCTTTCTAAATCTCTCCATTTATTTCTCCTTCTTACATATTGAATTAAAGCTTACTTGGCCCCATAAGGGGGGCCAAACCCCTTTCTCTGCTCTTGCCCAGCTCCTCTGTTGGGTTCGTTGGGTTCGATTCTCCTAAACTGGGCAAAGGGCTTCCGCTCTCTACGGGCCTCGGCATAACAATACTTGCCCCCCAAAGACACACATTGTCCTCAAGATGGAAGGAAGGGACTTGTCTCCTAATCATCTCGTATGACTCTCATGTAGCATCGTGCTCCAACAAATTATTCCACTTAAGTAGCACCTCTTGTGCCCTTGTCTCTCCTCCGTGAACATCTTCTACTCTTAGGAGTTCCAAAATGACCTCCACGTCTTTTGTCAAAGTCGAGGGCAGTGAAGATGGCATGCGATCTCCTATATCCTTCCTCAACTGTGAGACATGAAAGACTAGGTGCAATGTTGAAGAAGGTGGTAGCCTCAATCGATAAGTCACTGCTCCAATGCTTTCCAAAATCTCATAAAGCTCAAAGTATCGTGAGAATAATTTCTCATTCCTCCTCCTGGCTAGTGTCTTTTGCCTGTACGAGAATGGATGAAGACACCCAACCACGGCACAAACGAGTACCCATTCACCCTAGCCAGCCTACAGAGTCTTTAATGAGTCGCTCAACAATCTCAAAGTCTACTGACTTCCTGCTTGACAACATCCGTATAGGTCATATCAAACATTCTTATGAGAAACATAGACAATATGTTACTGTGAATGTTTGAAAGATTTTCTCCAGCATAATTACACAGTACACTCCATTGTTTGTTACACAATAGCCACGCTTCTAACGTTTCATGGACGCATACCCTGCATCAACCAACGTCCAACGGTCCAACCATTGACATACATGACAAGAGTTTACAATTCAACCTGTATATATGATCTTTATCAATCAATCAAAGAAGCTATCGAAAAGCTTTCGCCCTTATCATTTTCACAGCATTATCACAACGAGAGAGTTCACATATCATACGTGTATGATGACTACCTTGTTAGGCTTAATGCAACTATAAGACCCACTCACGTTCAAGAATGCCCAGAAGATGCCCTTTACATACCATTACTTAATGATCAAGTTATAAACTGGAATGATGCTAATCCATTAAATAATCAACGTTGAAGTTTTAACTACGACATATTCATTGACATAATTGTTATAATGAAGGAGAGGAAGATATGGAAGATGCCCAGGCTTGTAATTGATACACTTCGACGACCAATTTGGTTATTTGATTGGCACATACAAGATAGATGTTGCTCTTGGTTCCCACCAGAAGACAACTACAATATGGATGATGTCACAATGGCATACATCCTTGGAGTAACTTGTACTCCAAAGCTTAGTCCTCAAGATGTTGATGATTGGCAAGAGTTCCCTGATAGAATAGTACTTGTTAATTCAACCCCTTGGACTACGAGAGAGTTGTACCTCGCCATTCTTCGGTGCATACGAAACCTCTGAGTAGTGTCATATCTAAAATTTAATTTACCTTCTAAAAATTTGTCATGGAACTTAAATTTGTTAAAACACTTCGCGCCTCTTGAATAGTTTGCATTGGATCTCATATATTGTTGTATTTTTTCTTGTGGTCTCCCCTGTAACCTTCGAATTCTTATAAATAAAGGGTGATGAGGCACATTTTAGATTTTTTGGCACATCTTTGAAGCCCTATTGAGCTAGTAAAATATTTTACTTTAAAAAAATCTTCTCTTTTTCATTCTCATCATAAGCTCGCAAGTTGAAGCATCTTGAATTTACTTACTAGTAGGGTTAAATATCTTTCACGGATAATTTTAAATCCAACAATACTTTTTTTGGTTAGTTGATTTTGATGTATTTAGTATTTCTTAGTTAATAAATTTTTTTAGTTTACAATTATCTTCAGTTGTAGTTAATTGTAAGCTTTACATTGATATATACTATTAGTGGGGAAACATTGTTAGAAATAGATATTAATTATTGAAATAAATTTACAACTTAATAAGATTTACTTTTAGGTTAATTTCCAAAACAAATCTCATTTATAATCTTTGCTTATTAATAGTTTATGTTTGGAAGAATGTCAATATGAATATACTTTAAACAATTTTATCATCCAATTCTTCAAGCACCAAGTTATATAAACACGCATACAAATATATATAACTTTTTTTTTTTACAAATATATATAACTTAAATGTACAACAACAACAATATCAAGCCTTTATCCCCACTAGATGGGGTTGGCTTCATAAATCATTTTTCTCCATCGTGTCCTATTAAGAGTCAAATTCTTATTTAAATCTAATAAAAAAGATCATTTATAATACTTTCTAACCAAGTCTTTTTAAGACTACCTTTATCTTTCTTAACATATGTTGAATCTAACACATCTACTCTCCTAACCGGGTCATCAGAAGGTCAACGTTCTATATGACCAAACCATCTAAGGTGACTCTCTCTAATCATATTAATCACTGGAGGTATTCCAACCTTTCACGTATATGATCGTTTTTCATCTGTCTCTAAGTGTAAAATAACTCATCCACCTGAGCATTTGTATCTCTACAACACTTAGCTTAATTTTACGCTTCTGTTTAAATGATCAACATTTTGAGTCATAAAGCATTGCAGGTCTCACCACCATCTTATAAAATTTTCCCTTAAGTGTGAGGGCTACTTTCTATCACACAACAAACCCGCTGCATTCCTCCACTTCAACCATCCAATTTGAATTTCTACTAATACTATCCCCGTCTATTCCACCATCACTTTGCAATATAAAAAAATTGTAAAAGATATATAATTTGAAATTATAAATGAATATTAAAATATATTTTCTACATAAAATGACTATATAAATATTTTGAGAATGCAATTAAATTATGTTTCATTTGTCAAAAATTTCAATATATAATAATTTGATTCTATTGGTTACTTAAAAGAAAATTTTTAATTTATATATATATATAGATATTTGAGAATGTAATGGAATTATGTTTCATTTATCAAAAATTTCAAGATATAATAGTTTGGATATGATGGCTACTTAAAGAAATTTCTAATTCAAAAAAATTACATAAGTAATAATAATTTAATAACGATACATTATAAATAAAATGCAAATTATCTACCTTTATTTCAATAAAAGTAAGCTAAAAACACATAAATTTTAAAAATATATATAAAACATTTTAATTTAAAAACATTATTATTATTATTACTATTATTATTATTATTATTATTTTACTTGATCTTTACCTTTGTGGAAGCCATCATTCCTGCTTTTTGCCAAGGGAAAGGTGCCATTTAGACTTTAGTACCAAATGCTAGGTTATGATGTTTGAACAGATTAACTTACCCTTACTTGCAGAGACAGTGCGCTTAATCCAAAGTCTGAGACTTTGAGGTTACCATATTCATCAAGTAGTAAATTTTCTGGCTGGAAAAAAAAAAACAGTAGCTAATAAGATCTAATTTTAGATAACTTTTACAGAATGCAATAGTATGAACTTTTTTAGCATTCAATAAAAACATACCTTCAAGTCACGGTGATACACACCTCTGCTATGGCAGTAATCAACGGCATTAATTAATTGCTGAAAATACTTTCTAGCTTCATCCTCCCTCAACCGACCGTGGTTAACCTTCATAAGTAAAAGTTGTTATTTCAGGAAAAAAAAAAAGAAAAAAAAAGAGATGTCACTTATGCCTATGTTATGATTGCCTAATTGCTCTAGTAGTTAGAGATTTTTCCATTCTTCAGGAGCGCACAGATTTAGGGTCATGAGCTTACGGACTTAGGTTTTGTTTGGGACAGATTCCTTATTCTTAAAGCAGTTTTTTAGTACAATAATTTTAAATTTTACTAAAAAATTGCTTTAAGAAGCAATGAGAAAGCTGTCCCAAATGAAGCCATAACCACAACTTATGACTATGGTATATAACTTATAACAAACAAGTCACCACTTACTGAAATAAACTTCAGGCTAGCTAAGAGAGAATGAAAAAATGAAAGCAAAAGTAGAATTAGGAGACTTACAATTTTGTCAAATAGCTCTCCCCCCTTGACAAATTCAAGAACCAGGAAAATCTTTGTTTTGCTTCCCATAACCTGAAAAGACAAAAAAAATGGAGGATTTGCAATAACAAATTCTCCCAGTACATTCGCTAATCATATATTTTTGATAAAATGTGTGAATGATTTGCTTCCCATAACCTCAAAAGACAGAAAAATGGAAGATTTGCAAGAATAAATTCTCCTGATAACTCTTAGTGGGATAAAGGCTTGATGATGATGTTGTTGTTGTTGTTGTTGTAACACTTGCTATCATATATTTTTGATAGAGAGAAAAAACATCCAGAAAAAAAAAAAGGCTAGCTGTATGAGTATGACTTATGCATAGAGAAGAAAATTATTAAACTAAATAGTTCAAAGATAAGCAATTCAAACAAGAAAATTTTTAATATGAGAGTTAAAATCGTTGGATAACTGGACTTGTGTGAAATTAATAGGTCAAAGTAGAGAACTGTTCGAAGCAAGATTTGTAATATGCATTTTCAAACTTGAGCACCAACATAAGAAGAAACTGTACTAGTTATTGTCAAATGTTGACAAGGCGAGAGAAGCAATAACGCTAAAGACTATTTTAAACATTTTAATTTATTAAAAAAATTTAAAATGTAAAAACACAAGAAAATGTAGCGGCATGGAAGTGCCATTGATGTCAGACAACATAAGATATCTAACCAGTAAGCATCAAAGCCACCGAATATGAAAACATTTTGGCAAACTTTTCCATTACCAGGCAACTTTTAAAGGCCCTTCTGATGTTGGTCTTCCTCAAAGCCTTGACTGAAAGAGTTTTGCTCATTCGGAAGATTACCGTGTACAAAAGAGCCATACATATCTTCCTCAATTCCACATAAATTAACAGATTTTTTATTCTTTAATGCGTTTTACATTTACAAATATTTATACTATTATCGTTAAGTTAATACAGTGCAAAGATAGGTGAAATTTTAAAAAGGATCACGGTTGAGCCATAAATGAGAAGAAGTAACGTGACGAAATTTTAATTTAAAAAGGATTAACAACGCAAAGTAAGAGTGCGTTTTTCACAAAACACAAGGAAGAATCACGTGTAGTAAAGAAAACACAATTTTGTTATACGTTTTCCCTTAAAACGCGAATCTCTAAGGTTTGCTGTTTTGTGTGAAGAATTTTTTTTTTTTAGTTTTCTCTTCAAACGTAAAAATGATTATTTTTTTAATGCTTTACGGGAGAGGAGAGAAACGGGGCAGAGAAATTGTGAGAGAGAGAGAGAGAAACTTTTTATATTTACATTTTATAACTATTTATTTTTTAATGTTAAATATGATTAATTAAGTAATGTTAAATTATATTTATATAAAAATAATCTTAAAAATTATATATTATATTTAAAATAAAAATTAATTAATTATGTAAATTAAAATTTTTTATTTCTTTTAGTTTTTTTTAATATTTTATTTTTTGTAAAGATTATATTTGTTGAATTTAAATTTACTTTCTTTTTAAAGATTCGATTTTTTCAATATTATTCTATCATTTATCTGAGGAATTTTTATTTTTTTTTAATATTTTTTTCCAATAGAGGTGTGGAAATAAAGATTTACTATAGGTTGACTATAGTGGCCTTAGCACAATAAATGAAAATAAAGATTTATACTTTTATCGGCGTATTAGTAAAACTGAAGTTAGAAAGGCTTTAAAGAAAATGAAGGGTGGAAAGCTATTGGACCTTATGATATTCCAATAGAGGTGTGGAAATGCTTCTTGAATTATGGAGGTCAACCTTAGAGTCTAAAGGTTTTCGCTTGAGTAGATCTAAAACGGAATATATGGAGTGTAATTTTAGTAGTAATAGACCTAGTGAGGGGATTGTGACTTTGGGCGATCAAGTCATTAATAAGAGTACACGTTTTAGATATCATGGATCTATTGTTCAGAGTGATGGTGAAATAGATGGGGATATTATCAGCAGAATTCAAGTTGGATGGTTGAAGTGGAGGAATGCATCGGGCTTGTTATGTGATAGAAATGTACCCCTCAAACTTAAGGGAAAATTCTATAAGATGGTAGTGAGGCCTGCAATGCTTTATGGTGCCGAATGTTGGCCATTAAAAGAGAAGCATAATTCTAAGTTAAGTGTGGCAGAGATGAGAATGCTCAGGTGGATGAGTGGCTTTACCCTTAGAGATAGGATACGAAATGAGCATATACGTGAAAAGGTTGGAGTAGCTCCAGTAGAAGATAAGATTAGGAGAGTCGCCTTAGATGGTTTGGTCACATAAAACGGCGGCCTTGCGATGACCCGGTTAGGAGAGTAGAGGTATTAGATTTGACTTATGTTAAGAAAGGTAGGGGTAGACCTAAAAAGACTTTGTTAGAAAATATTAGAAATAACCTTTATTTATTAGATTTAAACGAGAATTTGACTTTTAATAGGACACAATGGAGAAAAAGGATTCATATAGCCGACCCCACGTAGTGGGATAAAGGCTTGATGTTGTTGTTGTTGTTCTAAATATTTTTTCCTTGGATTTTAAAAAGTAAAAAAAGAATAAATATAAGAAAAATTATCTTGATTTTTTAAAGTAACGAGCATTTTGATAATTATTAAGGAATTAATAGAGAATAATTATACATTTAATTAAAGTAATATTTAAAAAAATAATTTAATAAAACATCAACACAAAGACGAATTTTCGGGAGCTAAAAACTTAACAAAAATTCAACATAAAAATAAGCCCTTTAAAAATATTCTTGATCACCATGCGCAGGCGAGCTTAGAGTTGAGTTTGAGTTGGACAGCATTTGAAGTTGTACTCAAAATCGTGTTAAATGTATTGTCAGTATGTTACATTCAGAAACTCCTTCCTCTTATGACCTGTCACAACATTCAGCATGTTATATGAATCAAACAGAAATGCATTCTCTGCACGATGCTATTTATGGTAAAATATATAGTAGTCTATATCATCCAACACCTTTCAATAATCACCTCAATATAACATTCTTTATTGCATCCAATTTCACAAATTCTAGCCTTAAAAATATTCATAAAAGTCAAATGGCCATCATGTTCCATGAACCTCTAGTGTAAAAATCTCCAACCCACATTACTAAATTATGCTCAATCCATGTAAAGCTAATTTTAATACATTCATCATGCGTATGCCATAATATGTTATCTTCATTCTCTAACAAGGAATGCATACAACACCGAAAATTTTGCTCGATTTGACATTCTTCTCTAAGCTATCTTTAGTGTAATGCGCCAAACATTCCTTCAATCGAGTGCTACCCTCCACAATCAACTTTTTCGTAGGAATTTTTCGAATGTTATTCATAACCGACGAAGAAATAAGAAGTTGAAGAATATTTCTAAACAAACTTGAGCCTCTAGGATACTTATATCAGTCATCGAAATAACCAATACATATTCAATTTATATAGCAATGTCATTGAATCTCATTAATGTTATGTGAAAAAAAAATCATCATGCTGATTACTTCTATAATAATGACACAACAATACAAGCCTGCAAAACTGATTTGATAATACATATTATTTAGACAATACAACTTTACAGCTCATATGTTAAATTAAATTGGTTTATAAAATTTAATTAAAGGTGAGCTGTAAATATTTGGACAATACAACTTTATAGCTCACATATTATTTGGTACTATATTTAACATCCTATTGTGAATATGTGAACTGTAAAGTTGTAGTCAATAGGTGAGTTGTAAAGTTATGTTGTCAATATGTGAGTTTGCAACAACCTATCATATTAGATGACCTGTAAATATGTAAGGTCCAATCAAGCAATATTATAATTTCAAGCTGTATATGAAAGTGTGATATGACTAACCTCTGTTATTTTAAGGGGTGTATGTATATATGAAATTAAGTTGTGAAGATTTTAATTTATGCCTTCAAAATATTTGGCCATGTATGGAAAGGCTTCGCAGCATCCCCAATAAAGAAAGGCTCGATAATACAAGTAGAAGAATGCATGAATGTATAACATGGACTTGTGATATTCCATTGGAGAAAAATGCAAATGCGAATGAGACTTTTAGGTGTTATATCCATAAATGGTCAGAAGATGAGGACTGTGCACTTTGGAATGTGCATGCTGAGGTAATGAGGATAAAACTATATAAGATAAGAGATTTTATGATTGTCACCGATTGGAAATATGTTCAAATGAAGTTTTTGGAACATTTTGTTCATCTCGTTAGTCTGTATTTCTTGCAGATATGAAATCATGAGATACGATGTAGCAAAGAATGTGGCCATTCTCCATATGTTGAGTGCAGTAACCTTGATCTTGAGCATGTTATTTTATATCATCATTGGTATTCTGCCTTAGACGATTTCATTTTGGAGTTCTATAACAATCGGATGGAGAAGGTTATACCGGAAGTGAAGCTAAGAAAGTTTCTAAATGGCAAGGACTAACAACACCTTTAATCTGAGTTTGAGTATATGTTTCACTATTGTGCAACACAAATCCAACTCCAAACACGTTTGTATTTGTTGCTTAAAAAATAGGAACTCTATGTAGTATTAGTATGTATGTTTACTTCTATTGAGTGCTCTTCAGCATGTTTATTAAAGTTAATGTTTTTTGTACTTTTTAAAATAGTAAAGATTGATCATATAATAGTTTGTAGATAACAAAAGTTAATTATATAGTACTTTCATATACAGCTTGAAATTACAATGTTATTTGATTGAACCTTACATCTTTACAGGTCATTTAATATAATAGGTTATTGCAAGCTCGCCTATTGATAATACAACTTTACAGCTCATCTATTGACAACACAACTTTACAGTCACATATTCACGATAATATGTTAAATATAGTACCAAATAATATGTAAGTTTTAAAGTTATATTGTTCAAATCTTTATAGCTCACTTATAATTAAATTTAATATTAAATTTTATCAATTAATTTAATTTAATATATGAACTATAAAATTGTATTGACTAAATAATATATATTGTCAAATCAATTTTGCAGACATATATTGTAATGTCATTGTGGCAGTAGTAATCAGTATGATAATTTTTTTTACTCGTGATATCGAATGATATTATTATATAAATTGAATATGTAATAAATTATTTGGATGAGTTTGATTAATATCTTAGAGGCTCAAGTTTGTTTTGAAATTTTTAACTTTTTAATTTTTATTTATTCGTCGGACATGGATAAGATTAAAAAAATCCCTACAAAAAAATTGATTGTGGAGAGCAGCATCGATCAAAGAAATATTTAGCACATTCCATTGACGATAGCCTAAACAAAGAAGGCCAAATCGAACGAAATTTTTTGGAGTTGTATGCATTTTTTATTAGAGAATGAAGATGGCATATTGTGGCATACACATGATCAAGGTATTAAAATTAGCTTTACAGGAATAGAGCATATTTGATGGTTGAAATTTTTTACACAAGAAGTTCATGGAATATAGTGACAATTTGACTCCTATGAATATTCTTAAAGCCAGAATTCATAAAATTGGACGTAATAAAGAAGATTCTGTTGAGGTGATTGTTAAAAGGCCAACGATTGATGTTGACCATTATATTCTTTATCATAAATGGCATCGTGCAAATGATGCATTTTTGTATAAATCATATAACACGTTGAATATTGTGACAGGACATAAGCGGAAGGAGTTTCTAAATGCAACGGATTGGCAATACATCCAGCACGAGTTTGAGTACAACTTCAAATGCTATCCAACTCAAATCTAACTTCAAGCTCGCCTACGCATGGTTATCCGGAATGTTTAAAGGGCTTATTTTTGTGTTGAACTTTTGTTAAGTGTTTTAACTCCCTAAAATCTATCTTTGTGTTGATGTTTTATTAATATAATTATTTTTAAGTTTTTCTTCATTAAATGTGTAATTATTCTCTATTAATTACTTAATAATTATAAAAATGTTTGTCACTTTCTAAAATCAATATCTTTTTTCTTTTTTTGTACTTTTTAAAATTCATGGAAAAATTTAGGCAAAAAAGAAAATTTAAATTAGATAAATGATAAAATAATATTTAAAAAATCAAATATTTAAAAAGAAAGTAAATTAAAATTCAACAAATATAATCTTTGCAAAAAAATAAAAAAATAATAAAACAAAAAAAATTTAATTTACATAATTAATTAATTTTTATTTTTAAATATAATATATAATTCTTATTAGTTTTTTATAAATATAATTTAATATTAATTAATTAACCATATTTAATATTAAAATTAAATATAAAAAGTTTATCTCTCACCATTTCTTTCCCCGTCTCTATCCCTTGTTTCTCTCTCCCCTATTTCTCTATCTTTCGTAAAACATTAGAAGAATAAAAAATAACTATTTACGTTTGAAGGGAAAGCACACAAAAAAAATGGGTTCTCCACAAAACGCAACCTGATTTGCATTTTAAGGAAAAACGCATAACAAAATTGTGTTTTATTCATTACACGAGATTTTATCTTACGTTTTGCGAAAAATACACTCTTGCTTTGGGTTTTTTATCATTTTTAAATTAAAATCTTGTCTCGTTCCTTCTCATTTACGGCTCAAATGTGATCATTTTAAAATTTTCGCCACAAAGATACTAGTATTAATTTATGGAACGTAACCCAACAATTTAAGAAGTTGCTTAAATCAAAACTTTAAATCTCAATTATGAATCAGCCATACATTGACTTCAATTTGTCCCACTATGTGAAATGAAGGTTTGTTGTTGTTGATACATTGAGCTCAATCATCCTCTTAAACATACCAATACAATTTACAGTCTCGAAGAACAATACCCAGAGGCTCCAAGCCTCTCATATTCTAAATGGGATAACTGTTATGTTATGAAATTAAAAAAAAAAAAAAAAAATTAGCGGTCTTGAAAAACTGTTCAGGGTTATTACAAAGTACCATATCAACACAATATTCATATTGTTGGATAATGTGATATATGGTAATCACTGAAAAGTGACCTTTGCCATAAAAAATAACGAAAAAAAAATGAAAGGGTACCTCATAAAGACGAACAACATTAGGATGCTTTATTAACTTCATAGTTGCAATTTCCCGTTTGATCTGCAGAGTTAACAAGCACAACATGAGCAAAAACAGAAAAAACATTTCACTGATGAGTATTAAGCCTAAATATATACTTGCAAAAGAATTGAATATGCATGTATCAGAGTAATTGACTAAATAGAAATTAATCTTTACTCCCTATGTTGTAACTCTGAACATGAAGGGTTATGAACTACTGCAATCAATTACCCTGACAGAAAGAATCAACATGAACAAGTTCACAAGAGACATGTTCAACAGACATTAGGGGTGTCAATTTCGGGTCACGGGTCTGGTTCGAATCGAACCCAAAACTGATCCGGCACTATTTGGGTCAACCTGAACCCGACTTGTTTTTGCAAACGGGTCGGTTTTTCGGACCTGAACCCGACCTGCTTCAGGTCTGGGTAAACCTGACACAACACGAATGACCTGGCTCCAACAAAAAAATGCTAGTTTTCGGATTCAAAAACGGGTCAATCTCGGGTTGACAGGTCAAAAACGAGTCAATTTTGGGTCAAATGTTCAACTCAAACCCAACCCGATTTTTGAAACGGGTCAAATTGTTGAACCCGAACCTGACCCATTTCGGGTTCGGGTTAACCTAACCCGAAATTTTTGGGTCATGTTTGAGTCGGGTTTTCGGGTTGTGCCAAATATTGACACCCCTAAAAAACATTGCTATAGCCAAATATAGAAATCCTCTCTTCTCAAGAAATTTTTCCTAAATTTTAAAAAATACAAAAGTTTTGCAGATTTGGGCATATGAATGCTTCTGTAATAAGTTCCAATCCCCCAATCCGCAAACTACACAAGCTGAAAGATTAACGGTTATAAGTGTTTGAAGAAAACCTGTTCAACCATTTTATTCTTAAGAACCTTCTCCTTATCAAGAATCTTGATAGCAACAGCCTCCCCTGTCTGAGAGTTTCTTGCAAACCTGACCTTTGCAAAAGTTCCTTCCCCAATGGTCCGGCCAAGCTCATATTTGCCCACTCGGCGTTTCACCTTGGCAGTGCTCATCTCTATCAAGTTTCTTCTCCACTGTTCTCCAAAAATCTCAATAATCCCGTGCTTTTCTGATCTCAGAACCCTGATTTCAGATAGAACTCATGATCAGGTCATGAATAGAAAAGCAACTCAACGGTTCAATAAAGACTAAACATGCAATATCCTGTAGATCAAATTTTATGTTTTCAAGCAAGTATCAATATCATTATATAAAGTTGCAATGCAATTTCCACATATCTAAATTACTAAAGAAACATTGTTTTTCACAGGAAAAAGCAAAAGAAGGTGATGCTTTCAAACAGAAAGTAACTGAACTTTTCACAGCTGAAGGAACAATAAATGATGCCAAATTGACAGAAGGAATTCCACAACTGAAACAATTTTATTTTCAGACATGAACTACAGCAATGAAGGATCAAAGAAAAAAATCATACCAGGAACTTAGGATAATGATGATGATGATGATGATAAAAAAACAATTACATTTACAAATAAAAGCCTAAATACAGAATCCATTTAGCATGGATAGAATTATAAGAATAGAGCTAAAACTTTATATACAGTTAATTCCTCTTTTCACGTACAAAAAGCCCAAAACAACAACACTAAAAAAGAATAACTAATTAAGACTTTGTTTGGGGCGGCTTTCTTACTTCTTCTTAAAACAATTTTTTAGTACAAAAATTTTAATTTTTGTACTAAAAAGCAATTTTGAGAATAAATAAAAAAGCCGTTCCAAACGAGGCCAAAATGTCAAAAGCAGCTAGCATCTTTGTATGCCAAAATGTCAAAAGCAGCTAGCATCTTTGTATAAGATCATGTTCCAGGCAGTAGAGGAATTAGGACATCAAGCGAGAATGAGCAAAAGAGTTAAACCCTAAAATTAAGAGGATGTGCCAAGCTTCTACAATATGCATAGACGTGTGAGAATTTAATGGTACAATTTCATATCACACATAGCCGCAAATGATTTTTCTTAAATCCACGGAAAGCGTGAGCCACTCCAACCACTCCCAAATTCCAAAATTGGTTCCAAGTGTTTAAGATTTTCAGGGTAATGATCTTCAACAGGGCACATTGATCTAATAATGGGGGTTATCAAAGTATTAACAGCAAAAGTTCGCTAAAATAGCTTTGAAGCCGCTAAGCAGAATGCCTTAGCATGGCATGAACAAAAAACTTATCAATGAAAGAATGAAATTAGTCGAAACCCAAACCCTAGATCATTAAAGCGTTAAAAAAACACAACAGAAAATAGTATTTTTCTGTACATTTTGTCGATGAAAATAATAAAGAGAATGAAAAAGTTTGATTACGTTCCTACAAAGTAAATGAAGATCAAAGGTCACATAAGAATGCAGACAGTTGCCAAAATCATCAAAGTACTACAGAAGAAACAATTAAGGGGAAAAAACAGAAAAAATAATAATAATAATGTTCTGCCCAGCGATAGTAGATCTAAGTGAAAGACTGACTTAAATTCGAAATGTAAGATAAAACAACAGTAGCTAAAACAATACAGTAGTCCAGAAGAACAAAAGCACTCCACCACCAAAAATCTGCTAAAAATCTAACACAACGGCCAAAACAGGATAAAGTTTGACGAAGCAGAATGCCAATACGAGTAGCCAACTGGAAGTTCAGCCATTACGACGGTTCAATATTATACAATAGCTTACAAAACTTGCAGGAGCAGCAGCCATTCAGAAGATGTAGGATCTGAAGTAACAAAAGCTGTTCGTCTGAATACACCAACCACCAAAAGAAAAAGAGAACACTAAATTACTCTAAATGAACCGATTATGGGTGCTTCACTGAAAAAGAAAAAAAAAAGATATAAATATTGAATTTTTTTCCTAGAATGAAACTCCGGAACAAAATCCTGCAAAAAAATTCAACCTTGGAAGAGACAGCATCATAGCCTATGCAGGACAAAATCCGAACTCAAGCAAATCCACAAACATGAACAGCAAAGGAAACAAGAATTGTAATAACCAAAGCGGCATCTGATGACCTAAACAACGAACAAGGAAAAAAAAGAAAACCAGTAACCTACCTTACTCTTCAGAGTAGAGCAACGGGACAGACGAAAACAAATGAAAAAATCTGCTACTTTTCTTCCCACCATATAGCTCTTTTTCATCCTAATGGGCGCTGAGAAGGATCATTTCAATTTGCCCAAAAAGACGAGAAAAGAAGGGAAAGCGGGACCCCGATATATGAAAGCTTATAGGAACCAACAGCCTTACCCTTGCATCTTTTCTTTTGTGTGGGTTCGCAAGGCATCTGCGTTTCAGCGCCACAAATCCTTTACTGCTTAAGAAATCAAAAAATCATCTTTTTACTCTTTTTTTTTTTTTCTACCAAGTACTTTATAGTTTATAGTAGCAATTAAGGCAGTACTTCTAGAGATATTATTACTTACGAAATTTGGATCAAAGAACTATACATTACATTTTTACTGTGCATTTCATAGAATTCGGACGCAGCTCCAGTTCAAACTACGCACATAATAATCTCGATTATTTTTATGATTTGATAACCCCCTCTCATACTACTCAAACTTCAACTATCTCATCATTTATTGCATGATTTATCACATATGACATGAAATAAATGACGAAAATTTTGAAAAAAAACATTCATAACTATTTTCCAATCTTTCAAAAAATAGGTAGGGACGTGAATGATATAGCCTCGAGCAAAAATATAAAATATTTATGAGCACCAACATATTATCTATATATGTTTAATGTATCGTAGCTACTCTTTTTCATTTTCTAAATATTTATAATGGATAATGATATTGGTTAGCTCTCATCGTGACTATTCTTTTCGTCGTGTCATAAATTGACTACTTTCAAATCATCCTTCTAAGTTCACTGAATGGTGATGTAGTTGCAGCCTATTCTTACTAATTTGTTTAGAATTATTTTTTACTACTCGATTGTAACTTGCTCACTTCATGAGTGATTTCTAGTAAGCATGGGTTACACCTATGTTTCTTCTCTTCATATCATGTTTACAATCAGTTTCTATTATTAAGTCCAAAATGATATTTTTCCTTTTGGTACTCTAACTTCTACTGTGATTTATCTTTTTAATGATATCCTCGTTAATTTTTTCAATCTTTTTTGATCTCATACACTTGGGAAATTATTCTGTGCGGAATACGGATATGAAAAACCGTTCGGACATGTGAGTGTACACATTGTATATAAATTTGCACATAGTGCGTATCAAAATTTTATACACTCAAAATCCATACGGTTCTTCCTGTCCGAACTCCGCACAGAAAAATTTATCCGTATAAATAGCATAAGCTCATCTTAATTAATGAAACTGGGCTTTGATCTCCTTCTTCTTAACAACAACAATGTCAACAAGGCTAAGCTTACGAAAGAAAAGATGCTTACAATTTTCCAGTAAGTTGAAGCCAAATTGAAATAGAACACATATTTCTTCAAGCAAAAAAACAAAAGAGAAGATAAAGATTAAGGAGAGTACGAGTCAAGGACTCTGCTAAGAGACAAAACAATCTATATTTATGGTTCAAGGAAGCTCTTGCTGAATCCATCTTGTCTTGTCTACCTTCACTTTCATTAGCCGTTTTCTGCAGACCATTCAGAATCTGCTGACTCAATTTTTTAGCTTTTAGCTCTTTGCGTCAAGCATTTATTAATCTTGACAGGATAATGAATGAGGTGAGGCTTTATTGGAGAAGATTAATCCATTAATCTGTCAGGTTTTACTGCTAATATAGAAAGTAAACACTTAGGAATGTAAAATTGATTAAAATCATAGGATTTATTGTTAAGGTTTTGAGATCAAATTATATATATATTGAGGCTATGTTTGGAATGACCGTAATTTTTTATAAAGATGATTTTAACTTTTTTTAGCATAAATTTTTTAAAATCTACTATAGAAAATAACATTTTTAAAGCTATGGAAAAAAATAACTCATAAATATAAAAAATTCTTTAAATCAGGAAAAAAGCAGTGACTAAAAAAATATGATTATGATTTGAAAAACAAAACAATAGAAAAGATGTTCCAAAGAAAGCTTAAATTTATGTTAAAATGCTTTCTCACTTCTTCTTAAAGTAGTTTTTTTAGTTCAAAAATTATTAAAAAGTAGTAAGAAATGTGTCACAAACTAAGCCTATGTAACAATGGTCTTATTTTATTACAAGCCTTTCTTAGGCCTTATTATATAGTAAGTTGTTGTAATTTTTCCTATAGCTTTGTATCTTGATCATAGCCCATAAATAGAGAGCTCATGGATGAACGAACGGAGCGAAGTCATTTGCTCGAACTCTTCTGTTTTTTTTAGCAATTTACAAAAATAGTTGAGCTTCTCTTTAACCTTTTCCCTTATTTATTATTCAATCCTTTTTGTAAGAAAAAAATGATGTTACACAATAATAAATTTGGATCTAACATACTCTAAGTGTATTGAGCTTAGATTATTAGACAATTATTTGAGCTATAAAATATAGAACAACAATGTGTAGAGCTATCAAACAAAACAAAAAAACAATTTATGAGCATTAGTTGCACTTTGAAGAATTCCTACATAAGGACTCACCAAGAAGAATGACCCAACCTAGTACACTGCAACTAGATGTATAGTGTCACTATGTTATTGGGTGTATTAGGCAATATCATTGGTAACAAAGAGATGTGATGGGCTCTTTAATGAGAGAGTTCCTAGATGTTGAGTTGGAAGAGCAACAACGTGCTCGTGGGAAATAAATTTAATCTTTTTTGTCAATTAAGATTGTCTCAAATTAAGCAAGATATTTTTATTTATGCAAAGATTATAAACTCCTACCTTATTCTTGCAGTAAATATTCATCTTATGTTGACCCATAAAAGCTATCAAAGAGATTTTTTATAAGTCTATTTGTATACCTGCCTACAGAACCTATCTTAACTAAAGTTGTAAATAGAAAAGCAAGCACATTTATGTTTGAGAAGAAAGTGAGGGAGGTTGCATAAACATGGATAGATGTAAGTCGGATCATATCTGCTTGTAAAGAGTTGAAGCAACTTTTTATCATCATATTGAGTTGAGCAGCCGCCATATTGGGTTAGAGAATACTCAAATAAAATTAGAGGAAAAATTGTATGTTATGACCAATCTTAAACATAATGTTATGAATAGGGGAATGTGATAGGAATATTGTTAGCAAAGTTATGCCTACCATTAACCAACCATTCACTTAGAAGAGTTTGAAGATAAAACGTAGAAAGAGCAGGGAAGTCTATGAAAAATGTCTTTATAAGTCAAGTATTTTAATAAGATATTGAATCCATAAACAATGTGCTAGGCTAGTGTTTCTTTCCTTTTTTTTTTTTCTCTACATTTAAGACACTCCCCATAGTGTGAATCATGTACTTCTCTAGCCTCTATAGTGACCCTCCCATGACATCCTTTCTCATGTGTATGCAAAAAAAAGTGTTGCCTTCCTCAACCATTGCTATCAACTCAGTAGACACAACAATGTCCAATCATAGTTGAGGAGCATCTCATAGCAAATACCCACTTTCAAAGCATATGTTCAAATTATGCAATATAAGAAGATCAAATTATGCACTCTAATAAGACCTTTTTCAAGTTCATCATTTTTTTAAGCTCTTGTTATAACCATCTAGGTAATTCATAAGTAGCCTTGAAGTTGTGGTGATTTTCTTAAAATTCTCCGTAAAGAGAAATTCAACAAACTCTTACCCAATTATCAACATAAATTTATAATACTTTAATTTATATTTTTGTCTCTGATATTGAACCTAATAGAGAAATTAACATTCTTTTCATCTTTACTCTTCCTTGGGAGAAGTTGATGGATTAGGGCACCAAATAATTACATATATGAAAGAATGAAGAAACATTAAAAAGTATTGCTTAGCCATCATGAAGTGATCACATGCTTCAAGCAAAGTGGTCAATTTCTCCATACCCCACCGATCATGTATTATACTATTGCAGTGTAATATCTCTATACATAATATAGAAAAAAAATCAAATGAATTAATCTTATATAAGATAATGAAGTAAATAGGTTAGAACCTAAAATATGAACCTTATTTGAACCTATTTTAAACCCTAGATACTAAAGCAATTGTTACACATTAAATTTTAATCGAGTTTGAATAGATTCGTCCTTCCATTGTTCGAATCTTTTTTTTTTTTTTGGTTCAAACCTAATTAAAATATACTTCTTTTATTCGAAACTATAGTTCGAACCTCACTCCATCGTACGAAGTTTATTTCCAAACTAATTATTGAAATCAAGCTCACTTTATTCTGTTAATTGGGAGTTTTGGCTATTAATCAAAAGGTCTTGGATTCGAAGCTTGTATATGAAATATATGTGTATGTTTAACTTAGTAGCTCAAATGTCAAAAAAAAAGTAGCTATTGAGTCTGTCTCATTCATTTTCCTACTGTAACCTAAAAGAAAAACCAATATTGAAAAGTCGAAAATGCATTATATTTCAAGTAAAGAAAGATTAAAATTTAATTTTGAATAGGATATATCACAGAAGCTTCAAAAAAAGACCACAATGACAAGAAGAATGATAAAGAATATACTTAACATAATAAAATCAGAGTAAAATAAATATTAACAAATTTATATCCATATAAGATACTATTCCTTACAATATAATCATATTGTTTTTTTTCATCTGAAAATTTTTTGAAGTGCATTTCTTAAAATAAAATATAAGAGTAATATTTCTAAATACTTGGATTATGAGGGATAAAAATACTTATTTTTTCTTCTAAGAATGTTCCCTCCTCTTCATTGTAACGCGCTGCATTGTTCTCTTTCGGTCTTCGCTCTCGATCTCTCTCTCCGTTCCACTCTCGCCAAGACTCCTTCCATTTCTGAATCTTCCGTATAAAGTTACAATCTTTTCTATCCCATTTAGTTCTCCCTGATCTCTCCAGATCGCGATGACTTCTGGTAACGCGGCGGCGAACGCAAACGCAACGATGTCGGCGCCTCCGGTTCCGCCTACGGCGATAGTGGAGTGGCATCAACGGCCTCCAAACCCTAAAAATCCTATCGTTTTCTTCGATGTGACCATCGGCAGCATTCCAGCTGGTCGAATCAAAATGGAGCTCTTTTCTGACATTGCTCCCAAGACGGCCGAGAATTTCAGGTCCACAGTTTGCCCTCTTCATCCCTAAAACCCTGATCATAACCTATACCTACCCTTTAAACTAGCGCTTAGGGTGCTTAAAAATTGATATTTTTGAGTGAACTTTTGTTTTAGGTTATCTAGCTTTAACTTATTAATTGCTGGGCTAATGGTTATTTGTTTGCTTCTTCGATGCAGGCAGTTCTGCACCGGTGAATACAGGTAATCCTTCGGAATCTCTTATTCTGTAAAATTTCTACTAACTGATGCTGCTCCTTGTACTTTTGTCTGTCTTGAAGTTGTAATGGTATATATTCTCCCGCTGTGATGAATTCATACTTCACGCACTCTAAATGAGGATTTTAAGTTGCACTAGACCAAAATACTGAAATAGCTAAACTCAGTGGGGTTGTCCCTTGGAACAGCTTTGACTGAACTCTGGGATGTTACTTTATTAGCAAGTTTTTGGTAGTTTCCATATAGGGCGAGACTAATGGACTTATCTTAGTAGACAAATGAATGTATCCCATCGTTTCTAATCAAGTATTTGATCAAGAAACACATCTCTTTATATTTTACTTGTTTTGTTGATCTGTTATTCGATGTGTGAGTACTGCATCATTAATTTCGAATATTTTTTATGTTTTTTCCATTAAAAAAAGGATGTTGATATTGTGAGAGTACATCATGGACAGCCTGCTTTCCCAAAATATGCCTTATATTTATTAAAGTTTGCAAATGATTGTATTGAGCTGAACTGCAGAAAAGCAGGGGTACCGGTTGGTTACAAAGGATGCCAATTTCATCGGGTTATTAAGGATTTTATGATTCAGGCTGGTGATTTTCTTAAGGTCTGTCTTCCTTCTTGACTCTTTTGATAATTTTATGAACTTCAAAAGAGTTGATTTATATCTTGAAATCATCTTTAAATTTTTTTATAAAAATCATATAAAACTTGGCTTATATTTAAATGTTGCATTAACTACTTCTAGGACTAAAAGAAAATCCTCCTCAAATCTATAGGACCCTAAGAAATCCTCTTATTAGTTCGTAGTTATGGTCCATTTGAATGCCACTATACTCTTTATGTGTGCTGTGAATTATAATAATAATGAAAAAATATTGGCCTTCTTACTGATTTTGACTTACAAACATTGAACTAGTCTTACGCTTGAGATGATTTCTAATATATGTCATTGTATTGTCTTTATATTTTTATTTGTATATTTATTTTCCTATTTTAGATTTGAGAAGTTACGCACTTTCTGAGAGTTTGCTTCACATTGACTTAGGCTTCCTTTGGGAGGGCTTTCTTATTGCTTCTTAAAGCTGCTTCCTAGTACAAAAATTTTAATTTTTGTACTAAGAAGCTACTTTAAGAAGCAGAAAGAAAGCCGTCCCAAACGAATCCTTAGTTTTTGCCTTGAATTGGTTTGAAATGAATAACTTGTAAATGTCCCATGCCAGAAAGGCTCATGAACAGCTTTTATTTTATGTATCATTTTAGTGCAAATTGATATTATTTCCTTACAATTTAAATGTTGATTATAGGGTGATGGAAGTGGTTGTATAAGCATCTATGGGAGTAAGTTCGAAGATGAAAATTTCATTGCAAAGCACACAGGCCCAGGCTTATTGTCAATGGTACGCTAATTTTTGATACTCTGCCCTTTTTCTTTTCGCCAGATACTGCTTAACAGTTGAAGAAATTGATTGCCTAGTGAAGTGTGAACGTTGTAATGTCAATTATGTGAATGACCAGTCTATGCAACTAACATAGATACAACTGGGACATAGGAGTTAACTTGGCACCATGGAGAAGTATTACTGCTATAATGATAGGTCAGATAAAAATGTTTAATATAATCGAATATTGAGGATCTTATGTTTGTTGCTCTGTTAGTAGTTTTTTTTTTTTTTTTTTTTTCTGGCAAATGATTTGGTAGTGTGGAGATCTCTTCTTTTGAAGGTGATTTAAATGATCAAGGAAATTGAAATGATCCATGTTGACCATGCACCCTCCAAATTAGAACCAACATGGTATCTTGCTTTGCTACAAATGGTTTTTATGAGCGGATAATCTAGATTTGCAAATTGATTTGATAAGTACCCTAGTGAAGACTATAGCACTTCATCTATTACAATAATCTAAATGCTGGGTACTATAAGATGACATTGGGGGTATTAATGATGTACTTCAATGTCTAACTTCATCACATAAATTCTTGTGCATGTAACTTCAATTCTTTTAATGTTTATCCAGTTGTTGAGAAGAGGAAAAAATTCTTCTAGTACTAATCCCTTGAATTATGATGTAAAATTGAACTATCTTTCCAATAGATATGACGACTATAGCTTGAAATAGGACACTTGGACTAAACAACACTTTTAGAAGGAACTTCAGCCAACTTGGACCAATTGTTGCCCAGGAAAAGAAAGAAAGCTTCTAATGAGAACATTGGCAGGGACTTGGTCCCCTCGGGTGAGTAATGGTAAGTTTCTATTTTGTGTGTTGTAATGGGTGTTGCAAAAGAGCTAGACCTCTGCCAGATCACTGGGACATTAACCAACCCTTGCGATTGTTTCAAACCCTCTTTTGGTGTCCCCAACCTCTGAAGTGACCGCTTGTCTATCTTGTTGGTACGCATTACTAACACAATTGATAACTCACCTTGCCAATCGAGTGGGTTATTCTTTTGCTTCTTTTTTACCATTATATACTTGCTATTGTGTATGGAATGATTTAGATTAAGGGTGTAAGCAAGTCGAGTAATGGCCTCATCGAGCTCGGCTCGTTAGTAAAAAATTTGGCTCGAACTCGAGCTCGACTTGTCGCACTGCAGGTCAGCTCGTCAAGCGGCTTGATTCAAAATTCGAAGTCCGATTTCCTGTGTTTTCATTTTCTCGCGAAACATCCCCGCCCGTGTTTTAAATTCATGCGTTTGGTTTGCCTTCCACAACCGATTCCGCATTTGCGTCTTGTTCACCTTTTGCAGCCGTTTCTGCATCCGCATCTGGTTTGCCTTTCGCAACCAGTTCGGCTTCCGGTTTGCCTTATGCAGCCGATTTCGAGCCTTCCACTGTTCCGTATCCACGACTATGAGCCTTACGTCGTTCCGAATTCCAAGGTCTGGTTCATTAATCACAAGTTCAAATGGGTCTTCCACGGTATTTTTAAAATGGCATGAATAAAATAAAAAAAAATATTAATAGTTCGAGCTAGCTCGCGAGCTCACGAGCCAAGCCTCTTCAAGCTCGAACTCGAGCTCGTGGCTAGATATGCTCGGCTCGTTAGCCGGCTCAACTCACTTACTCCCCTATTATAGATAGATTAGCTCCCCCCACATTTGCTTTTCTTTTGTTATGGGAGGACATAGATAGGAAGTTATATACCCATATGCACTCATTTGTACCTTTTATGCTTTTTAATTCATGCAACATGCAACTTTCAAGACAAAAGTGTGCTTCAGGCAAATCTGAGCTTTAGGAGTGTTATTTGATGGACACCTCTTTCTCCTTCTATGTAAAAGGCCTTTTTCTAGACTAGAGCGGTTTGTTTTGAACTGCAAGCGGTGCAGGGTTTAAGAAAGCAAGCTTTTCTTGAGTAGTTTTGATGGACGGGTTATATCTTCTCATTTTATTCACCTTACCAAAAACCTATAAGAAAATGACACCTCAAAGCCTAGGTTATGTTCCTTTTTTTTTTTTTTTCACTTGACATCTAGCTATGTCACATATACTCACTACTCCCTCCCTATTAAAACAAAGGCCTTCCCGACTGAAACAGGCAAGCTAGCCTTTCATCTCAATGATGCTTAAGGAGTATTTAGAATAAAGTGGATGGGTTGGAATAAGGAGCTCTTATCTGTTGCCTTGGCTCTATCATTGCAAAATCATGAAAAAAATCAACCTGTGTTGAGAAAAAAGATTCAATTCTAGCTAGTTAGAGGAGTTTAATGCAGTTTCAATTCTAGCTAGTTAGAGCAGAAATGGATGAAAAATTATGTGGTTGTTCCCGCCTCATCCAAGGGGCATTCTTTTGAGGCATGTTGTTAGCATAGGGCATCCATGCTTAAAACTATATTCTAGTCGGAAACTGCACTGTGTGTTCCCCTGGGTGTGGAGCCTTCTTCTATGCTGTAGAAAGAAGATGCGCTGTTGTATCCATCGATTGGTGCAGTAATAGCTAAAACTGTATGTGGGACTTCAAATACGGGGCACTCAGTACCGAATCATCCGGGTATACTACAATCCTTTTATCCATATTATGATCCCGTTCATGCAAGGAGGACTGGCAAGTTGGATTTTCATGATTCTAGAGCCAAAAAAGGTATGAATATTAGTTTTGTATAGTTAGTCTGATCTTACAACCAAGCGTATATGAGTCCAGATTTGCATTTTAGGAGAGAAAAACTGCATTTCAGGAAAGATAGGCTTTGAGGAGAGGGTTGTGATTAGATGGACTACTTCTTTCAAGAATGAGAAACCATTTGGAATGAGCGGTGTTTGACTGATCTCTGGATGTTACATATTTCTAGATGCATAATGGTTTCATCATCAAGATAAGTCTCAATTGCAAAGTTATTGTTTACCATTTTCAGCCTATATTTCTGCGTAGCTTGTTAATGTTGTTCATGCTATATTATTTCAAACTAACAGCAATCAATTTTTCTCTAATTTCACAGGCAAATAGTGGACCCAATACTAATGGTTGTCAGGTAATAATAATTTTCTTTATTGTGTATTTTCTTTCCCAAAAAAATTGATATGAAGAGAATATTCTTACAGGCATATGAAGCAAGAGAAAATATAAGATATAATCCTTTTAAAAGTTTAATGCCTTACAACAGCTTTTGAAACCACAATATTTCATTACTTCCCTTGTTTTTATGTTGCTGTCATCCAATATTGTTTAAACCCTTTGAATCTCATAAGCCAGTTTCTTCTGTAGTTTTGTTTTGGTTGGTTTATTTCCCCTAAACATGTAGATGCAGACAATTAGTAAATGCCAGAACTTTTTTTTTCTTTGATTTGTATTTGGTAATCACAAAGCGACATTCCAAAATGGTTTTGAGTTTATGATACTATAGCTTGATGTCACAACAAAGTTTCGAGTGGAGAATATCACAAACTAATGTTTACCAAGTCTTCTCGTCATATCATGGCCTTACACAAGTCCATAAAACCAGTGAAGTCACTTGGAAAAGTTGACTCAATTCAGCCAAAAGAACCGTCATGTCCATATGATCCTTTGTTTTTGTGCATCTTGTGATTCTAGCTAAATACTAGAAGTTGCATTGAATGCAAAGCTAATTGCTTGGAATTTAAACAATAAAACGAACCATGATTCAATCGGCCCAGTTAGCTTGAGTGAGTTGACCGCATCATTGCTCGGCTTTGAGACCACTGACTCATCTAACAAGACCATCATAAATCTTCGTGCATCTGATTCAACATCGTAGTTATCAAACATCCGCGCATCTTCAATTAAGCCTCCTTGAGTCTTTCTAGAATCAGTGTTAGATGACAATTGCACTGACTAAAATCATGACCCATATGATTGCGTGCCCCACAATTATCAAGCTACGTAGATTTATTTGATTATAACATGACCTATGCGATTACATTCTCCAAAATTAGAGGTCAGCATGTTTTGTTTTTTAAACCTTGCCCATTGATTGTAACAACCTTGGAGTTGTAGATTGAATTCTAAGTTCTTTCTCTCATGTTCTCAGGAAAGAGGGCCGCCTCACTAGCTTATAAATAGCAACGAGCAAGTTAGTTGTAGGCTTAAAAATCTTTTTGGACTCTTGGTCTTCGGATCCTCCATCCTTAATGCTAAACAATAGCTTAATGGTCTTGACTAGAAGAAAGTGTTTCCACCTTATTATCCTCTTTTCATATTCTCTCCTCAGAGTGTTTTCTTCCATCTAATTAGTTAAACTTAAGGAACCTCAACCTTCAGTCATAGATAGACCTTTGAGAATTTGTGAATGTCATGTTTTTTCTAAGTTGATTAAGCCCATCTTAACGATTTACATTTATAACTAATTTTTATGTAGATATAACCGTACTAAAGATACAAAAAATGTTATCTTTAGTGGGATAAAAGCTTGATATTGTCGTTGTTGTTCTTCATATCCTTGATGAATCTACCCTACATTGATGAAGTTGATGTGATTAAATACTATTAAATAATAAAGGGAATTTGTATAAGTCTCTGTGGTTTGGCTTCTTTGTAAAAGAGTACATTATTTTTTTAGCTTTGTTAAATTAGTCAACTTTTTATAAGAAAGGACACTTCAAAACTCTAATATTCTTAAATCCAGTATATTAATCAGGGTTGTATCAAATTGTAGTTCATTTTTTGAAGTTGTCTTGAACCACAATAATCGTATTAAGTTTGATAGGGTTGCATCAATGTCAGTAAATATACTTGGGTACCAAAGTTTAATAATTTTACAAAGAATTTACTGAATTCTACTAACTTTGCTAGAGTTTTGATAAATTACAAGGTTTGCTTCAACTCAAATGAATAAACCGAGAATGGAAGAGGAGAGAAGAAAATAATAATCATTCAAATTTATTCAAAATCACTACATATAAATAGACGTCAGAAAATAACAATGACAAGGAATACTCCTAAAACAGTTTTAATTGAAAACAAAGTAAAACATGATTTCAGAATTCAGGAATTGGTGAGCTGTCATAATGAAACAGGAGTGTTCATAATGAAACATGAATGAAAACAGTCGAAAGATTGATCCAATGGCAGCAGTAATCAACCTCCTCTCATGTTTTTGAATTCCCTGCATCAATGTGATAAAATCTATAAGGTAAACTCCATTAAGACTGATAATAATTGACAGAAAAATCAGGGTCTAGGATCCTATTAAATGCAATTTACCAAATTAGTTTTATTTCACTCTTTTTTCATCAAAACCTGAATCAAATTTCTTTCTTGAGCTACCATTTAGTAATGAATTTTGGACAAATGTTTTTTTAGCCACTATTTATTCCACACGGTTTGAGCCAAATATGGACAAAATTCCGAATCACCGAGTAATAATTTTTTAACATTATATGCTTGCTGATTAAACTGTCAAAGTCTCTTGAGAGAGATTTAGTAGGGATACGTGCAATTTGTAAGCAGTTCAATGTGTAAATAAGAGAAATAATCCTACGACTAACCTTTTCCTTTATGAAGTGATGGTCAACTTCTACATTCTTAGTTCTGACATGATGCACAATATTTTTGTGCAGTATTTATTGTAGTTTGGTTGTTTCATGATAATCTTAAAGTTTCTTTTTTAGAAACGGTCAACTCATTGAGAAGTTGTAATTGAATTCCTTCACAAGTTCCTTGAGCTATGGCTCTAAATTCTGTTTCAGCATTGCTCCTAGTGACAGGAAGTTGCTATTTGCTTCTCCAACTCATTAGGTTTTACCCCATATAACTATAGAATAGCTTGAGATAGATTTGTTGTTAGTGATTGAACTTGCCCAAACTACTTTGGTGAAAATTTTAATGGATTTTGCACATTTTTTTAAATAATCCTTTTTCATAGTGTCATTTATGCATCTTAGGATTCTCATAATAGCATCTCTGTGTTCTTTAGCAGGGCGGTTAATAAATTGCTTGACCAAACTTATAGAAAAGGAAATATTATGCCTAGAACGAGTGACTTGATTTTTATAGTAAGTCTTTGCTTTTGATCTTTATCAACATGAGTATTGGCTTTTTTCATCCCTAGCCTAAATTTGAACCCACGGGAGTTTCTATTAGTTTGCATCCAAGCATTTCAAATTTTCATGAGTAATACCATTGTGAGATCTAGCGACCATCTCTACAAAGCGCTTTTGGGTCCCAAAATATTTGATTTTAAAGTATCTAACCAACTGTTTTTTTATGTTTACTAACTTATTATTGAAATATCTTGTAAGTATAATATCATCCGCATATATATGTAATAAGTGATTTCCCTCGGAAGAATTTTTTATCAAAAGGGTATGATTTTTTTTGGGGAACAGGGTATGATTAGCTTGACATTGAATTTACTCATAATTTTTTATAACTTCAGAGAATTGGTCAATTTAGGCTGGAGCAGATTATTTTAAGCTATATATTGATTTCTTGAGTCTGTACACTTTGTTACGAGGGAGCTGTGAGCAGAACCATCGAGATATTTTCATTTCTCTCTCTCATTCAAGATCACCATTAAGAAGACATTTTTTTAGTTCAAGTTGATACATTGGCCATTCATGATTAGTATTAGGGATAGAATAGTTGAATAGTATTAAGGTTGGTAACAGGATCAAATGTCTCTTGGTACTTTATACCATATGATCTAGCATATCCTTTTGCAACAAGACAAGCTTTAAATCATTTTATGCTCTTATCTGCTTTATATTTGATAATGAATATTCAAATGCACCATGCAATATTTTTATATGAATGTAAATAAAAAATCTCCCATATATATATATATATATATCAAGTGATTGAATTTCTGCAAGTGCAACTGCTTTTTAAGAAAAAAAGTTGTGAATTGAGTAGTTAGCGCAGTTCTTATCCATTTCTTAGGGCAACATGTTTTTCAAGGTCACAAGAAAGCTTAATATTGATAAGTCAAGGGTTCTCATTACCATGTGGTGCGTAAATAGAGATTGGACCATCTGGATCTTATTACATTCTTATTCTAGCAGATCCCAAATTATTAGAGTGAATGAGAGAAAAAATATGCAAACTTTTCAAGGTAAATTGGGACACTAATGTGTAATATGTGTAGGGAATCGACATACTTAACAAGAGAGATCCTGAGAGATATTGTTGACACTAGATAGAAATAATTTTGGAAGGTACATAAAATTAGGATGATCAAGGTAATATTGTAACATAATTTCATTATCTTTATTGGAATTCATGTAGGATTATGTACAATTTTTGTTTCTCTGATGGATATAGTCTCGAGAGCTTGAGGATATGAAGAAGTGTCAAATTTGAGGAGTAGAGTCTTGTGCATATTTTAGAACTGCAAGTCATCTTCCCTGAATTCTAGTCCTGGAATAGGCATTTGTAAGGAGAAAATTTAGTGATGCAGTAACGGTCATAACTCATAAGCAAGTTTTTTGATAGATAATAGGTTGCTATCTATGTTATGGACGAATAAGACAGTGGAGTTTCAAGATTGGAGATGACAACGGTTCCTATTTCTACCAGTTCAGACATAGTTGCATCAACAATTTTTACAGATAGGTCTCTTTTGCTTTGTTCAAAAGTTTTAAAATGATTGTCACTTGTCATGTGATTAGAGGCAATTGCATCAATAATTCATACTTATTATGCTTTTTTGCATTTTGGGCATGATAGATGATGTTACTAAACCGGGCCAAAAAACAAGTTTTTATTACATCAGTTGTGGGTTGAAGGTTGAGGTCGTCCTAATTCTGAGCTTTAAAAAAAGAGTTTTGAGTGCCTATATTTGTGCATTGCTTAATACATTGAATTTGAGAGAGTTCGGATGGTTATTGTTAGTGGATACATGTTGCTCTTGACTTTTGTTTAGTGTGGGGTCACACAGGTCTCAAATTTGGAGGTTTTCCATGAAGCTTCCATGTTGTGACCATATTTGTGCCAATATTCATACCATTGCCTTCATTTCTATGTTTGAAATCATTTGATGATATTTTCTAGAAATAAGGAGTCATTAGAGTAAATCATTCTCCAATTAATACAATTTGTGATATTCTCATTATCAACTTCTTCTTTGAACCTCATCCAGATCGTTGTTTATTTCCATGAGGAACTTAAACACTCATTTGTTCTCGATGATCAATTTGTATTGCGATTCTTCCAGTAGATCCAATTATCAGAATTGATATTTGAGAGAGTTTTAGTACTAAGTAATAGATAAGTCACCTTCTCATAGTTCATGGAGGATTTTCTCTACATATAGAGAGTTATTATATGTTCTTAGCACTTGAGTTATTTAACCACTTCCCAACTTTCATTGACAATAGAATACGAAATTCTCTTGTATCTCAATAGCCATAGACTTTATTTTCTGATTTTTGGACCTTTAACTTGGATCTCGTTTTATAGGTCTTGATCTTGTCAGATTGTTGTATTTGGCTTTTTCCCACAAATGAACTTCATCATGAACTGTGACCATTCGAGATAGTTGTAGCCATTAGGCTTGTATTCTATGATTGGAATAAGATTGTTTTCTGCTCAATTGGTTGGCCATTAATTTTCGTGGACAAATTTATAAATACATAAATTCAGCCCTGCGATGATCTGTGCAATAGCTGCATGATGACACGGAGACACCTTGATTCAAAACAAAAGAAAGGCATTTATTGAGTATAACAGTATGTCCAAGTATTAAAAGAACATACTGAGAATTACTTAGCTTAAATTTGAGAAGACTTCACGCACAGTTACACAAAACGTTGGTTGTTTTTGCTAATTTGTGCTCCTTTTATTCAGGTCGATAGATATTTCACTCTATAGAACTTTCTATGTTTTGGCACTGGCTGTTGAGGATCTTGTTCTAAGAATTATGATTGCTATCATCCAAAGTATCTTCCACCAAACAATGGAATCATTTTTTTTTTCTTTTGGTTTCAAACATCCATTCTCTTTCTTCTTTGCCACTTTGTTAAGTTCATTCATCTTTGATCATCTTGATGGCTTTTTCAGATTAAAGATAATTGGTTTTATGCATTAGTATATGCCCATTCCCTCCTGATCTTTCATTTTTGGCTCTTCATCTCTGTATGTGCCCTTCAAGTAGGTTTTTGTGGAGTCTTCCCACGCTGATCAGTTTTGCAAAATGACTACCTATGATTTACCTCTTTTGCTTGTTCATTTGCTTTTGATAAACAACTTGCAATAATAAGACAAATTGTCCACCTTCGCTGTCTATATTAGAACTCTGCTAAAGTTGGTAAACTGCTAGATCTAGTTCTGTGTTACAAAGCCAAGTTAGAATAACTGTTAATTGAAGTCTATAGCATAAAAACAATGAACAGTTTGTAGCCATCTAATTGTCATACCTGCCTTCTTTGATGATTCCCACCACACCTTCATTGTCCATTTTAGAATTTGTGCTCAGTTGTTAAACTCATAGATTCTATTCTAATGGTACCACTTTATTTCATGTTATTTGCATATCTAACACCCAAAATATTAATATTACATGCCTACCATACATATACGAAATCCCTCTATTTAGTTTTTATATAATGATAGCAAATAAATGAAAAAAAATGAATATAATAGCAGAAAAAAAAGCTCATTGCAATTAAAAAAATATTAATATCGAATCTACAAGAAGTGAGTTCCTCCGAAACAAACAAATATCATCATAACTCACTGCAGTGTGACTCACTGAACTAAGACCCACATACTTATATTGAAACAAATGACTCCTAATAAAGCATAGGCTAAGAGAAATATCAAGGGAATGATGTATTTACAGTATTAAATGCTTTTATATGGATATATATGGTGTTTCACTTGTTCATATTGGTCAATTATTAAAAAAAAAACCGTTTAATGGCTGGCATTCTATTCCTGGAATAAAAAAAATCATCCCCGTACTGTTGTAGTGTCACCCTATTGATAAAACCATTTATCTAGCTGCAATAAAGATATCATACCCTGTTTCATGTCCAACTACTAATCCTTTTATTATTGTTGAAACTTGCAGTTTTTTGTAACCTGCGCCAAGTGTGACTGGTTAGACAACAAGCATGTTGTTTTTGGGGTAAGTTCTGCAATATCTGCTTTCAAATAACTACATGGATAATTTGTGGCACATTTAGCTAATCTACATGGATAATTAATGGTTAGACAACAAGCATTTATCCCAAACAAAACCTTAGTCTACTAATTCTGTATTATTAGAATATCTTCTCCATGTTCATAGAGTAGACCTTCTTTGCTCGTTGGATCAAACAGCTTAGGAGGTCACCTATCTTAGTACTATTCTCGCCCAACAAAGTTGTGCAATTAAAACATCTTCTCCCTTATATTTGCTATACATTTAGGCTATGTTTGGGACGGCTTTCTTACTGCTTCTAAAAGCAGCTTTTTAGTGCAAAAACTAAAATTTTTGCACTAGAAAGCTACTTTTAGAAGCAGTAAGAAAGCCGTCCCAAACGAAGCCTTAGTTCTCATTTGGTTGACTTGGTGCACAATTAAAATGCCTTCTCCCCTCTATTCATTTGACATTTAGGGTTCTCATTTGGATGATTTGGTGCAATTAAAATGTCTTGGTGCTTCTATTCACTCATTTTTCCATTATACTTCTTTGAACATAAAAAAAACTATGAATCTGCTACTTTTGCTTGTAGAGGGTGCTGGGAGAAGGCCTTTTGGTTGTTAGAAAGATTGAAAATGTCGCCACTGGACCCAACAATAGGCCGAAGCTTGCTTGTGTTGTGTCAGAGTGCGGCGAGATGTAAGATTCAGCCTTCATTTGGGACGGTTTATTTATTACTTCTTAAAATAATTTTTTAGTATGCTAAAAATTACTTTAAAAAGTAACAAAAAAAGTCATCCCAAACGAAAATAGTCTAAGTAGCTTCTATGTTCTGACTACTATTCAATTGTTAGAAGCTAAAAACTTAGCTGCAATCTCTGGTATTGTGTATTAGTTTATAAATAGATAATTAATGTTATTACTTTGGATGAATTGGTTACTACTGGCAATGTGTGCAGGGCTTTTAAAGTAATTTTAATTGGTCAAAAATTAATCCTAGACTAATCTGATCTTTTGAGATTTGCAAGAAAGATGTATGAATTATTATTATTATTTTGTTAGGATCTTCATTAACTTGCCAGTATGTCAAATGTAAGCTGCTTTAAAATAATAATAAAAATAAATGATGAAGATTATTTTTTACAATCTGATTTCAGTCAACGAGCAATAACAAATCTTATTCTCATTATATGAGATCTGTTTTTCTCCATTATATTCTATTAAAAGCTAACAAGCAACATAAATATTATTTTTTTAATCATATTTTGTTGGAGAATTTGATTCTTACAAAGAACAATAATGCCATTTGAATGGTTTTCTATTAATATAATTAGCAATATCAAAGTCATTCAATCTGTTCATCATTATTACAATTAGCAGCATGTTTGATTTATAATAATTACTGTTTTGCCATCCAAAACTTTTTAAAGGATGATTTTGATTTGTAATAATCTAATCAGAGCATCTTTAAAATTTTTATATACTCGATGGTTTTATTATGATAAAAATTGAAAAATTAATCCTCATAACAAATCTAATGTCATATAATATAAACGTATCTCATGATGTGTTTAATCGTGTCTTAAGACACATTTATGAATTTAAGATTACCTGAAGCATGTCTTACTTAAAGTAATTTTTTCCGTATAAAAATTTAAAAACAGTAAAGAAACTACCCAAGATGGATCTAACACATTATCAAAATAACTAATGCTACAATCTTTCAATGAAACAATTCAATAAATTCATCATTTGTGATGCGGAGAGAAAACATTGAAGAAGATAGCTCCTAAGAACAAGAACATCAAGAATAATAAATACCGTTAAATTTCAAAAATAGATATCATATATCATCCTACTTATAACAGTTTTCTATATAATATAAAACTAGAACTCTCTAGAACTTTCTAGAAAACAAGTACAGAAGGCATTCTATTCCCGAGGCTGCATTTAGTTAAGATGCACCACATATATATCATGGTATTCCAAGAACATTTATAATTTCTTGTTGAGGTTTCAACTCAAATACCTTAGCATAGGCCTTACAGCCAGCTTCTTCTACAGCTATGTTTTGATTTCTGCACCCATTTCAATTTGAAGCTCGACTAATCTATAAAAATTAACCATTACAGCACTAAAATATATGTACCAGCACACATTGGTTATTACATTTAAGAAGAATATACTGTTCCTGTTAGGTAGAAAAAGGCGTTCAAAAACATTCATCATTGATATAATCCAAGAACTAACTGCAAGCCATCTTCAAGCTCTCGGTTCCAAGCTGGAAAAATTATTGCGTCCTCCCACCTAACGTAGAGATACGTCCTCCCACCGCCAAAAAACTCGGTTTTTGCTCGGTATTGCTAGGTATTATTTGATAATAACGAGGAATATCATCATGTGAAGATCAATACCGAATTATACCGAGCAATACCGAGCAATACAAAAAAATACCGAATTTTTTCTAGGAAAAACTAGGTATTTTTTTGTATTGCTCAGTATAACTCGGTATTGGTCTTCACATGATGATATCCTCGTTATTTTTTGATATTGCTCGGTATTTCTCGTTTTTTAGCGCGATTTTAGCTCTGAGATGACGTATCTCTACATCAGGTGGGAGGACGCAATAATTTTTCCCTAACTTGACCTTGGCTGTCGTCAGCGTTGATTCACAAGCTATCACACACATCACGTTTACTATTACCTTCAGTAATTGACCACCTCCATTTGTGCTCCAATTAAGCAACCACAATCCAGCCTCCTTGCCAGCTAAGGCCCTCAAAGCCATTGTCAACTTTGTCTTAATAGTGTCACCGGCCTCAAACCACAAACCATGCCACCTAATTCAAAAGCAACAGCTCATTTCTCACTTCTCTCGACCACCTCTAGTTGGCCACTTCGAGTAATAAACACAATCAATCTCTCAGTCGTCAACCACGCTGAGCGTATATAGGGGTGTAAACGAATCGAGTTCGAGTCGGCTGGTGTTCGAGCCCGACTCGTCTGTCAAATATCGAGCTTGAACTCGACTCGAGCTCAAGCTCAACTCGCAACATAGAAACAAGCCGTCGAGCCGCTCGTCAAGCCATTCGATTTGGTTTCCCACCCTCCATTCGCAGTTTCCCGACCGGTTTTTCGGCCATCGGGCCAGAGGTCCTCGTCCGCACGCCAAACGATGGAACTTTGCTTTTTCATGTGGATAAAAAAAGTGGCTTGCATTTTTTATTTTCTCTTGTACAAAACATTTAACCCTGAGAGCAACTTCTCTTGGGAACGTATTTCGGCTGGAGTAATTAGTACTTTACTGCAACTTTTTCGAAACGGTTGCAAATTTAAATTTAATAAAAATGAGAAACTGTTTAAAATTTTAAAATTGTAGATGGAGTAATAAATAGCGTTGCACTGTAGCTGCAGTTTATTTATTTATTTTAAAACTAACAACAGCTCTTTATTTTGTAAGATTTAAATTTAATAAAAATACTACTTAATTAAAAAAAAAAACTAAAAATTATTCAAGCCGGCTTGCGAGCTCACGAGCCGAGCCTCATCATGCTCGAACTCGAGCTCGTTTGCTAAATGAACTCGACTCATGTGCTTGATAAGCTCGGCTCGCGAGCCCATAAACGAGTCAAGCTCGATCCGGCTCGCAAGCGGGCTCGGCTCACTTACACCCCTAACCGTAAATGACCACCAAGGCTCAAAACAACAATCAATCACCTGCCTTCAAGAACTAGCAGCTATCTAAGAACTTCAAACAATAAACCCTTTCTAAAAACTCCCCTCTAGATTTCCCCCAACTACAAATCGCTTTTAATAAAGCTAAGAAAGATGGTGGCTATAACAAATATTGTTTGACATTTTATGGCTTGAAAGTAGGTAACTATTTTGATTGGAGATATATTCAAATATGTTGCACTTTAGCAAAAACAAATCATAACTTTTTTTTTTTTTTAATAAATATGAGATTAAAACTTTGAATTCAAATGAGGAAACTTAGCACTCCATATCTTAACAATCACCTACTTAGACATTGAATTTCCTATGTATTGCCTTGGGAGGTCATCATTGTGTGGCTCCTCCTATCAAAATCATCCATTAAAGTTAGAGATGAGGCTTAGCAGTGCCTCAATCTATCAGTGATAAGCCTATCAATTTTGCTCTCAAATCCACTTACCATAACCCTTGCTTCTTCAATCATATCTTTGCTACCATGCATCTTGATCCAGAAAAACATTCTGTCCTACAATGCCCTCTTATCTTTTGGTAGCTTTCTCTTGACAAAATATCTATAACCAGCATTTCTCCTTGAGGTTCACAAGCATCTATTAATAGTAAGCAATATAAGGAAGAAAAATATTTGTGCAAAAGTCAAAAAATTTGTTGAGATTTCAATTCAACCATAAATGTACCCGGCTCTTACTGCATCTCCATATACTCAATCAGTCATTTACTTGCTGAACATTAGTTTCAATAGCTCCTAAAACTCAAAATGTTCTATAGATATATCTCAATAAAAGGCTAGATATGCCCTAATACATAATGTTTCATTGAAAATAGTATTTCCACTCTTAAAGATCTTCTTTTGATTTTGATTATCCAATATCCAAGACCATCAACTTCATAACCAATGAAGTAAAATCCAATAGATTTCACATGTATACTCAAAAGACATCCAAAAACCATTTAGGTTCACTCTTTAAATAGCTTATAACTTGAAGGAATTAAGGAACTTCTAATGATCAAATAAACCATGATACTCACAATATCCACCCAGAAAGCCTTAAACAATCCAACATGCGACCTTATTATTCTAGCTTTTTCATTCAAAATCTTATTCATGCACTCAATAACCTCGTTCTAATATGGTGTTCTTATACAGCATCCTTTGATAGCTATGCAAAATTCATTAAACTCCTTCCTATAATATTCTCATGTGATATATGGTCTCAGGCAATTGATCTTTACACCAGACTCATTCTCCATTTATGATGACAAGCCATCCAATAGTAAGGGGGGGTAATGGACAAGTGAATGATGAGGATCATGCCTCTCCTTGTACGTATGTTGGGTCTTTTACAATTGCTGCTCCACTAATGTATGCATTTTGCAAATACCCTCCAAAATTTTATGAGTTCTTTCTAGATCAACTTCAACCCTAGCAACAGAAATGAGGGCAAAAGAGAAGTGAACGATAAAAGGGCTTTGTGTCAGGTACTCCAAACAAACTTCAAATGGTGTCTTTGCTTTGGAGGAGTGCACAATCTTTTTGAAGGTGAATTAAAGTTACAACATGCTATTGTCTCAAGGTTTTGGATTTAGGTTTTTGTACTTTAAAAGTAAATGCACTATGATCATGTTCGCCACCTATGTTTGGCCGTTATTATGTGGGCAAAAAGAGATACTCATCCTAGCATCCATCATGGCCGACAAATGCTACCATAATTGGCTAAAAATAAGATATTTCAATTAGACAAAATGGAACTGAATTATCCAAAATGTGCTTATACAGATAGCAAGAATAATCCGGTAGCCTCCTCACCTGCAAGGGATAAGAATAATCACTTCTGAAAATTCATCCATGACCATATAAAGGTAGTTGTACACCCCCCCCCCCCCCCCCCCCTTCTCTCTCTCTCCCCCCCTTATATCTTTGGCAAGCCTTCTAGAAAATCCACCACAAACAACTTGGTACGAGCACAAGTACCCAACTTCCTTCTTACGAGCTAGGAGGTGTTGTAGAGCATCCTTTGATATACTTGCTCACATCATGCTACATATTTGGCAAACAAACATAGCGTGGCAGGTTCTACAACGCTTTTACACTCCAACGTGTCTAGCCGCCTTCAATATACTTGCCTCCCACATTAATTGGAATTAGTCAGTTGAATCTGATATGCACAATTACGATTATTTGTAAATAAGTTAATCACCTTGAAAATTTTTTGAAGGAGTTGTCTTCTCCAAGTCCTCCAAAAACCCTTAGAAGAAGATTTTTCTAA